ACATCAAAATTTAAAATTCAAAGTCAGCTATATTTTCAATTAGAGTTTTTGGATTCAAATTTTACTTTCACTTTTGAATAGACAATTCAGATTTTAGTAAATGACTGTGGTTTTCATTAATGGAGACTCAATACTCACCAAGGAGGAGATTTTATATTTTGTGTTTACTTCCTATGAGGTATTTAATGTGTCTGGCATGCATTTGTGTGCTCCTACCATCCACTAACCCTCCAAGAAGCAGAGTTCAGTTGCCATACGACAATTCGTTCTCTTGGCGATGGCTTTATTGCTGACTATATAGCTATATGTGTCAGGATACACAGCAACTTAAAATGTAATCAAAGTACTCAAATATTTACTTCAGCTGTAGGTGGTCAAAGTTCATACCGCCCAACTGTTCTAGTTGGTGGAGCCATACCATATTCAGGTTTCTGTCAAGGGTTTGTGAGCTTGTGTTCTACATCTGAGGACACCAGAGGCATGTCTCTAGTCCGCACAGCACTAGACCCAAATGTACTATGCCAAGTGTTCTTAGAAAACTACTGAAGTGCTAAATAAGTGTGGGCAGCCCGGAGCAAGACCTGATCAAATGACAATCTGACATTTACCATTTGAGACTGAGCCGTCCCATCACCACCTTTGTAGCCCACCCATCCCGGTTACCAGGTCCCATAGTTGGCAGGTATGAAAGGCTGCAGCAAAAAAAAAAAAAATAACAACACTGTTCATTTAACCAGGCTCCACTAGTACGAGATAGGCATCTGCAGTCAAATCTTTAAAGGGTTACTATAACCCTTTTGCGAGAGGGGACCTTTCTGGTGTACAATGTCCTACTGAGCATTATGGGGAATGCCCCATAGCACAATTTTTTTGGAAAAACTTTTAGAAAAAAAAAAGTTTTACATTCATTCAATTCATTTCCGGGCGAAGCTCCAAGCGCTGCTCTTCCACACAATCTCTTGCTATCACTGGTGCCACATCATCCAATCCAATCACAGGCTTTTTAAGTATGTGAGTAAGCCATTTTGCCGGCATAGAGCACATGCGCACACTTTAGGCTGGGGAGGAGGGAGAGGATTCTAAGAACAAAAAAAAACAGCATGGTGGGAGGAGAGAACTAGATTCCCTTTTCAGGTGCTCTGCCTGCAAGTGGAAGATTTTCAAGTCTTATCACCACGTAGTGCGCACTGACAACAGACGTAATTTATGCACAGAATTGACATTAGGCAGCCAGGTACAAAGTTCTGGACTGCCTAAGTCAAGTTTGCTGTGGGTGCAACTTGCCTTCACACACAATTACAGATATCTCAGTATGTACAACCAGACTCATGACTATGACCACTTCAAATCACTGAAGTGGTCGTGGTGATTGGAGTAGTCCTTTAATTCATCAGTATTGGAGTGCATTAGGATCCTTGCTCCACATGTCGTACATCTTGTAGGGAACAAGTAGAAATTGCTAAATCTAGTTTAAAACCAATAATTCTGTATAACATTTTATTTAAAATGATAGGGATAACAGTTTGTTAGGGATGTTACATGTTGGGTAGGGTTTTCCCAATAACTGCTAGGTTGGGTGAATGAAATATCCATACTACAAAAGCATTTTATAATGTTCCATTTGTAATATAAATAAAATATATATATTGTTTACTTACCATAAGCATTCTAGTGTATGCAGTGGCGTAGTGTGGGGTGGTTGCCTTGGGCGCAAAATTCTTAGGGTAGCAAAATTTAAAAAAATTTTAAATAAAAAAAGTAGTAGTAATGCATTTTAAAATAATCTTGCTTTCCCATCAAACAGAAAATCTCTCAATGTTTGAACATTCTACACAGTTTACCAACATTACAGAGCAAATAAGCAATGCCGTGTAACATTTTACAACTGCATTACAGTCATACTGTCCTCATGTAATCCATGTCGGTGAATTACATAGTACCTATTTACGGCCGGTATCTTCAAATGCAAAATCACACTATTTATAGCCATTATGTAAATGTCTATTATATGGCATCATACCAGTACGCCGGTAATGTGCGCCTAGAAAGCCTCGCTCCACCAGCCCAGGTAGGGTAGGAGTAGCAAGACTATCTAGCCTTCCGTTAAGGGACTCGTAGACCGCTTATGGTCCATGGGTTAGGGGGGTTGTTTCTGGCTCTAGCAACCCATGCTACGCCACTGAGAGTAGGCCGCACCTTTTTGGGCTGGTAGCGCCACATTGTCCAGATGAAAATTAACCTGTCTATTAATACAGGACTCATGCTACAAGTTGTAGAAAAATGGAAGCGATTAAGGACTTTAAAGAGTTATAACCATTGTGGTGCCTGCACTTTTAAAATGAATAAAGTGGTGTTTTATGAATCAAGTAATGCTTTTGTTGTGTTTGACTAATTAAAAAAATATATTCATATAATTTTATAACAAAATTATGATCACCTTCCGCCTTTCTTGAATGAACGTTTTGTGGCAAGACTTAAAGAGAAAGAAAGAACTGCGAGTACTTGACTTTTTGCATGCACTGATCCCATATGACATATCCAAAACAGTTTTGTGCTGATGCACATGCTCAGAAGGTAAAAGAGTGTGCCAAAATTAAAATACAAGAAGTCAATGAAAATGTGTGATTTCTGGAGCATGGAAAAGGAAATAAAACTTCCGAATTAATGTATTTGAACGGTTCCCTTAAAAACAAAATCTACATTGGTACGCAAACTGCAGAACTGCAAATTTTACAAAACGGAGACGGAACTAATAAAGGGAACACTGACCAAGACTGCGAAAAGATGCGAACGCGTCAGGACACTGATCGAGAAACAAAAAATTAGAAGGTAAAAGCAAAGGCCTCGAAGGTCCCCCTTATGAAATAAAGGGTGTCGATTTTAGCAGGAATCTAATAAACTTTGATGGCTTGTAGATTTTGAAGGATTGTAGAAGTTTTTCCTGAATGCATCCAAATATGTTATATGTAACATTCCAAATATTACACTGCTACCCTAAAGGACCATAGCTGAACAGTAGAGTAATCACACATGTATTGCTTATTACACAGCTACCAAACTGATCACAGCAGATTTAATCAGAGTTCCTGTAACCAAGGATACCCTTTCCTTAAATGAGTCTACGGCTTTCATGGGACAGATGCTGAACTCCCTTGGCCCACACTAAATGCAAATTAGCCAAGGTAAGCTAAAATAAAATTAGTATATAGGTAAGACAATTTACCTGATACCTTGTCCACAGCCAAGAGGACAGGAAAAGAGATTGGGGACTCGGAGAGGGAAAATCCTATTTATAATTTATTTCCTGCCCTAAACAGCCAAGTGTGCGGAGCTAACCCTATTGTGATGCGGTCATGGATTAGGCAGGAAAGTAATATTTTTTTAAAAAGGAGAGCTTGATGAGGCTCTCTAGAATAACCGTAACTACTGGAGAGACATCGGAACAGATTGTGTGGCAAATTGTAGGCACAATAGACCCAGTCTTCAACAAAGCAAGAGGTCGGTGTTTATTTACTTTAAAAACACCTTAGCGACCGATGCTTTTCGGAGACTCCATGCACATGGGGCCGAAACCTCCTCTGGCACTTTTTACATGTGTTTCTTCCATTGTAATTACTAACACTCTCAAAATGCTGTCATATACATTCCATATTGTACAGAAAAAAGAAGGGAAGGTAGCGCCACTAAAAACGACAAATTAAAAGAACATAAAATATGCAAACTAAACCGCAAGATATATAATAAACAAATAAAAGTCCAGAATACATAGTCTGACTGGTAGGTGAATCAAACAATTAGGTATTTCTTTGTAGAGGTGAATATAGTCTTTAGTAGGGGGGGATTCTTCAGAGTGATGTAGATGCGTCTTTGATGGTGTAGTATGTCCAAAAAGGGGTAGAAACGATAAAAGAATATATGGTCCTACTCACGTTTTCAAGAGCTATGAACTTAGCGCTATTGTTGATAACGTACAGTGGTATAATCCCCACTTATGGGATACGTGAGGTCTTAGTATTCTTTCTTGATTATGGAACCATATGTGGAAAATGGGAACAGCAATAGTGCTCAAAGTATAAAATGCCAGAGGTGAGAAGATAAAAAAAACCAAGTGGTTACTCACATTTAATTGAAAAGACTAACTGTTCAATGAATACAGCTTGAGTGGTATAATCCCCACCTAGGATTCTTGGGAGTAATATCCTCATGGGAAAGTAAAAAACACTTCTGGTGCCGGATAAAAGGATGGTAGTAATAAAAGAAAAATAATAGCCATCTTACTTTCTTATTACTAACTCACAGTAAGAAATTGGCAAAAATATCTTTATTAAAACAACAGTTTAAAAACCACAATGCGTTTCGCCCTTAGGCTTTATCAAGTGGAGATCAGAAAGTACACCCTGTTACATACAGGTATATATAGGCAGTGAACATTTTTTTTTTTTTTTTTAAAGGCCATAAAAGCACATTTTGATCTTGCTGCTCCTAGAAGTCTGCATTGTAGAGGAAACATTTTTGGTAGATTCTAGTCAATGACCATTATACAAACACCATCTGTATTCTGAATTGTTCGTAACACTGAAAAGATGATTAATTTAGTTACGAGAGAAGTATAAATAAATAATAAATAATAAAAAAAACATAGAAAGGAACACCAAGTGATATTTAAATGTAACAGAAAATTTATCATATAATTTATGATATTTAAATGTGTATCATTTTTAATGCGTATGAATAAGGCAAACTTTATTTTTAATATTTAGAAAGGGTTTTCCCAAGTCCTACACACTTACCTTACATTAAATGCAGATCTGACTTCAGCAGCTAATCAAATTCTCCTCTTTGGTACCGGGCACAAACTAGTAGCGCAGAGGTGGACACGGTGATTACAGGATCCCTACCTCTCTATATAACCATCACTGAAAGTGTCACAATAATTGCAGGAACGTTTTAAAGAGAAATAACAGACAAAAATGAATGTTGAAAGGGAGAGGCGACTTTTGGAGTAGTATTTATTAGTGTTATTTTAGATGTAAATTTGTTTGAAACATAGGATTGAAGAATAAGTGATATTAATAAATAACATCTCTAGAAAAATGTTTCCATTAGCATACAAATGTTACATTTGGTCCATCATACCTGAGAAAGTCAAACAGTCTTAATAAGCACTGATGAACAAGTCAAAAACATTTTTTTTATTTTTTTTGTTAATATGGAATGAGGTTTGTTTTAACCTTTTAAATCGGTTCTTCTCCCTTTAACCATTAACTCTGCATTAGACCACATTGTTCTATGGTTAGACAGAGAATGCACTGTGTACAGAGCAGAGTGTATAGGGGGGTGGGGATGTACTGGATATTGAAGGGTGTCCTCTAGCTGATGCTTCATTGCAAGTATAGTTCTGCAAAAGCTGGGCTGGCCATCAGTGGTAAATAAGTACATTGTGTATAACGGTTGCTTTACAGTTCTATTCCCAAAATAATGCAATACAAAGAAAATATTAACATCACAGTATCATTTCCAACACATGGGGATTTATCATTCCTTTTTTATAGCTATCGTCCTGACCTCTTATTCAGATATTAACAAATATTCATAATTTCTACTTATACTGGGCATGATTAATTCACAGAATATGGGCAGGATGGACACAACGGATCCAGCAATGGGTACATAGAAAAGTAAAGAGAGGCAATGGGGGGTATTCCCAAGCAAGGTTATCCAACAAAGCGAGAATTGACATAAAGTCAATGTGATTTTCAAAATTAAGTTAAAAAAAAAAAAAAAAAAAAGCCATACTAGAAGCATAACGGACTTCGAGAACTTTTCTAGTTTGTAATAAAATTAGAATTCTTGACAGTTCTCTCTTTAGTGAGTGAATTGTGGAGGACTAAACAATAAACTGCAAATTGTAGGCCAGAATAGTCACATTCATGAAGAAGGTGAATTATAGATTCCCCTCCCCCGCCTCCTCCTAATTCAACTATTTTAAACAAAGAAATTTCAAATCACGAGAGCAAATAAAAGCACTCCTATAGGACCAATGGAATGCCTTATACATCGGGGGCATTTTTGGCCCTAGACGTACCCCCATGAAGGCTATAGTATGTCGCTCATACAGCAAGTTACTGACAGTGGCCAGCACAGAGAGGAAAAAGAATACATTTTTACAATTAAATCCACATGAAACACACAATTTCTGGTTATGCGCTAAACTTGGAAATGTGCGAATTTGTAAGGTTTGAAGAGCCATTATAGTAGTTGGAATCAGTATACAATGACATTAAGTTAATTTACAATGTACTGCACATTCTATTGTCAATAAAAACAGAGCAGGACATAGATGGAAAATAAATGTCTTATGTTAGTCCTATACAGCCATTAGGACTCATTCACACTACACTAAATAAAGCACTGTTCACATAACACAATAACAATTTTCTGCACTTTGTGATTGAATGATAGACTTGGGATGCATGATTAAAAAAAAAAAAAAAAAAGAAAACGTGCATTATACGATGTGCCAGCTCAGATCACGCAGTATCACGTGGACAAGAGTTGCATAACCTGTTCAGCTTGGAAAGAAGGCAGCTTGATTTCATAAGTCATACTGTAAGTACGCACATTTGGGTTAGTTTATTTGTGAATTGTGTTACTGACACACTGAGCAGTATGGTTTAACCCCTTAAGGACCAAACTTCTCGAATAAAAGGGAATCATGACATGTCCCACGTCATGTGTCCTTAAGGGGTTAAAGCAGTCCTCCTCAAACCTTTCCTCAAGGCACACGTAACAGTCCAAGATTTAGGGATTACCTGACTGTGTCTAAGGTGTAAAAAAATAAATCCCTAAATCCTGGACCGTTGGAAGTGCCTTGAGGAGAGGGTTGAGGAGGACTGGTTTAAAGTACCAGCAATGTGATCAAATAAAAATGAATTAGTAGCAAAAAGAATTGTTGAAATTGCAAGTAAAAATAGATCAACCTGAATATACAACTGCACACATCATGGAACAAAAGAAAATTAAAAAAAACTAAACGTGGACAGTTGAAAAGGCAGTTTTAGAGGTCCGTCTCTATTAGATTGAGGATAATTGTTCAAATCCTTACATTTTCGGCCTCGGGTAGCTTGGTTTTAAAATGTGCAATTTGTACATCAATTCTACACAATTCTGACTAAAATAATTATTTTTAACTCACTACTGAGGGTGATCCGTTTCAGATTAGCATGTGATTATCTCAATTAAGGTTTAGCACACTCTTCACACTAATGTTTAAACCTAGCAAACTAAAATAATACACTTCCAGATTTATTTTTATTATTTCACATATTTTAATCCAAGGTTAATTGAAATAGATAATAGCTACCACCAACCCAATTAAAACTTTGTAGAAAGAGCATTTTCCATTAAAGGGACACCTACAAGGCACTCCATCATGTCCCTATAGGCTATTTGAGAAAAGTGCCAATTTCAAGAGAAATATGCACTTTTATGAATTCCTTTAGTAACACCCCCAACCTGTAAAACAGAGTGCTAGGAGAGTGTCCTGCCTCACTCAGGTTTGAATTCGTTCTCAGAGAGATGCATTAGTTTCAATGCTTCCCTAGAAGAAACATCGTTGGTATACCCCTATGCACCTCTAATATAAACATGAGTTTACCATATTTTTATCCTTTCAGTGCAGAATTGCAATCGGAGCAAATAATCTAAAGGATCAAACCAATAAAAAAAAAAAAAAAAAAATTTCAAAAATAAAATTTAAATGGAGTGTTTCTTTAACTATTTCCCCCCCCAGAATTTACAGACTCACTAATACGAAGACCTGGATATAGAGACTGTGCAATTCACGATCCTCCTGATAAACATTAGAAGCTGTGTTTGGTGTAGTATCAGCCAGTCACAGAGCTGAAGGAAGCAAACAGAAATCATAGCTATTTCTAAGACAGCCAATGAGAGTGCTTAGTTCAATGACTGAAAGCTGCTCACCCCAATATGAAAATAGTACGAGGAGGGCAGTCAATACAAGTCTGACACTAATCGGGTTTATTCACTAAACCAGGAATTGGGAGGAATGTGAAAATCTTAAGACAAAATATCAGAATTTGAATTTCTCCAAAGCCTGCAATTTCTTGATCTATTCTCCATTTAGAGAATAACTGAGAATACCATGTTAACACATGACGTGCTGGCAGAAAAGCTTGTTGCTCTGCTTCACTTCCCTACAAATGGACAAATTTTAACCTATATATACACACATATCTTTTTTATTTTCCCAATAACGGTTTATATAATTTCCGTTTTTATTATGTAAACTAAAAGAAAATAAAGATGATCTTGGTTTTCCTATAAAATAAAGGGAGTGGACGTAATAAGAGAATATATTGCATCTGTTACACGTATAATCGGCTCCCTTATCTATTACATATGCCCTCTATGTATGCAGGCAGTTAGATAAGAACGGACACCTGACAGTTTGAATTAATGTATATTTTATACATTTTTACATTTGTTGTTAGGACATGTACAATACTCAAGTGATGTACAAAACAAAAGTGTGCCTTTATACATCTATACACACTCAGATCATCCATCCGGTCATCAAACGTTGGTTTGTCAATTTACAATAACTAAAAATATGCATCTGTGTAATTCTTTTGTTTCTCAAACTACCTCCAGTTTTGTTTTATCTAAGCTCTGGATACTGATCCAGAACATTCTCTGTTCAAACATATTTTTGCATCTATTCACACAATCGCCGATCATGGTTTTCCTTCATTATATATTGTGCAAGCATTCTTTTCAGTCCACTCACAGACGTCTTAATTTCCATTTTCTTTCGATCCAGTTGGATCAGGGTGCTCGGGTGTCACGAGTGAAGTGCATTGTCCATTTTCCAGTTTTCTGAAAGGTAACCCAATGGATGAAAAGAAAATCCTTCAGGTCTCTGAGATGAGAACACTAGAACCGCATGGTGTATGAATAGTTTCTATTTAATTCTATTGGGTATCTTCATTTCATGACAGAGTCTGAGGATGTAGAATTACTTGGAAGGTTTCCAGTGCTCAGTTTCGACGTTTCTTTAAAAGAGAAAAATACAGAAATGTTATCACAAGCCGTGTATTTAGAGAAAGATTGTTAACACCTATTGAAAACCAAAAATGACAGCTGATGGATGACCCTACTGGGTGAGCTTGTTCTCTTCTTTTGGTTCCCCAATCTACCGTCGTCCCCCATATGTATCTCCTCTCTGTTCTTATATTATTATTTTCCCTTTCCCCGGATCAAAGAGATTTGTATTAAATATTCATGGTTTTCTACGCTCTCAATGAAGTGGTGTAAGTACAGTGCCCCGGTTCCCTTAACCCTGCAAGTGTTCCTTTAAATAATGAATCGGTTAAGAGAACTGCAACACAATCTTTGCCAGACCAAAAAAAAAACCAGAGAGGTTTTTAAAAGGTCCTTGGAAATTGTAGTTCTCTTAACATAATTTTCACAAGCTATCGGTTGAAATGATTTCATAGCATAGCTTTGAGCCAATTGCTTTTTTTGGTCCATTTTAGCACAATATCCCTACAAAAGGCATTTAATAGCGCTAATTAGGAACTGGTTATAGACTAAGGTGACACAGAGGGCTGCTTTTCTTATTACCGATAATGTCCCTGAATGGGTGTTACACTAACATACGAGGATTGCCAGACAGGTTTTAATGGCGGGTATACATTGTAAGAAAGTACACCTATTAACCAGCAGCAATTGCATGTTCACATACACGGTATACATCAAAAAATGGCTGCCGCACCTCCAGTTAACCAAAAGACTGGCCAGATGTTATGCTTGGTAACACACCACACACCCACAAATGACAGTTTAAAAAACCACTATGGTTAAATAAATGAAAGGAAAAAAGGTTGAAACACATTCTTTGCCTCGACATTGTAACAAGTGCCCTAGTTTCAGTTTTGGAAATTACTGGGCACTAAAATGGCAGATAAAATTTAACGTAGAGAAATGCTTTGGGGTCAAGAATGCACAAGCAACTTACACCCTAAATGGTAGTGAATTAGGGATAAGAAGACATAAGAAGGATTTGGGAATTGTTATAGGCAACAAATTAAGCAGCAATATGCAATGTCAATCTGCAGTTGCTAATGCCAGTAAAGTTTTGTCATGTATAAATAGAGTCATAAATTCTCGGGATGATAATATTTTACCTCTTTATAAATCGCTGGTAAGACCATACCTTGAATATGATGGGCAATTTTGGGCACCTGTTCTAAAGAAGGATATCACAGCACTGGAAAAAGTGCAGAGACGAGCTACAAAATTGATAAAAGGAATGGAACATTGTAGTTACGAAGAAATGTTAAAAAAATATAAATCTCTTTAGTTTGGAAAAACGGCGCCTCAGAGGGGATATGATAACATTATACAAATATATTCGGGGCCAGTACAAACCATTATCTGGAAATCTATTCATGAAGAGGGCTCTATACATGGGACACGAGGTCACACATTTAGGCTGGAAGAAAGGAGATTTCATCTAAGGCAAAGAAGGATATGAAATTCTCTGCCTGAAGAGGTGGTTTTATCAGAGTCCATACAGGCGCTTAAACAGCAATTGGATAAATACTTCCAAAAACATAACATACAGGGATAGAACGTCTAATTAGCGGGGTAATAGCTGCTTGATCCAAGGAGATATCTGACTGCCATTTTGGGGTCAAGGAGGAATTTTTTCCCAGTTTGTTGCAAAATTGGAAGCACTTCAGACTGGGTTTTTTGCCTTCTTTTGGATCAACAGGAAAAAAATATGTTAGGAAGGCTGAACTTGATGGAGGCAAGTCTCTTTTCAGCTATGTAACTACGTAATAAAGTTACCAGTGGACCACACATGCGTTCCAATATGAAGATGGACGTAGAAAAAATGACTGGCTTGATAGACACACAGTGATGACTTAAGTGGAATGCATTTGCGTTCCACTACGGAGCTGAGTGCGGAATTAATTCTTTCCAGCTGATTTCTTCAACGGGGATTGGCTGACGGCGACCCGGTAAAAACACTTACAAGATATGTATGTGGATATTGTGTTTGGACACTATCTATTGAGATACTGTACCCCTGAGGAAGTCTGGTGACCCAGACGAAACGCGTAGGGCTGCTCAGCTGCAAATTATTTCATTTTATTTCCATTTTGGATTTTTAATATACTTACCTAAGGACTGCCTGCAATAGCACTTTCAGCAGTAAGAACTTTTGCACACCAGCACTTTATATCCAGTGACGAAGTGTTCTGGTTTTATTGATGGGCTTGCATGAATTGTCCTGATTGTAAGTTTTTACTAATAAATTGTTTACTTACCTTTGATAAACTGCCACATATTTCGTGTCCTTTTACCACATATATATTCCACATTACATTGAGGAAATCTTCAAGATGATCAAGTACCTGACATCCTTACTCTCTAGTGAGTGCAATAATGAACTATCTCCCTTGTGGATAATTTAAACTGTGCTACTCTATGTTTGGTTTCTTTCCTAGACTTGTAGATATTTTGTATTTTCAGATGTTATGCTTATATGGTTTGCACAAGCCTGACACAGCAATGAAGGTATGGTGTAAGAGAGTTGCAATAAGTATAAGTGTATAAACCAGGTTGTATTACGTCTCCCTTTCCATGGTCACATGGTATGTGGACAGATGTAGATTTTAGGTTTTTACAAACCTTCCTTCTCTTTCTTTTCCTGGTTTTCTTCAGCGGCGGTTTTGTCGGCTCTAAAGAATATTCTTGCACTGCTTAGTGAGAAATACAGGAATTCAAATTCCTAAAAGCAAGAAAAAAAAGAAAACACTGTTATTCACAGCCCATCTGGTTCTAATGGGACTATTTTTGCCAGGCAGAAACCAGCTACTGAAAGAATAAACATACGAATACACAGAAAATTAGTTTTTCTTTTTTACCTCAGGTTCCCATTTTATGTGCATAATGAGACATTGACAAGAGATTGGAATATTTTCGCTGTACATAAATGGAAATATATAAACATGATAAAGTAACTGCAAGTGTTTGACCAAAATTGTTAAACTGGAAAGCCAGAAGTTTGGGAGAATGTTACCAATCTGACCAGATCGGTTCCAGTTCCCTTTTTATTTCCCCAAAATTATTTGTTTAGTGAATAAACTACATCAGAAACCAATATGCCTTATAATTTATTCCCTGTTCAGGAAATATGTCATCAAAACATGCGTCTTAAATGATTCATCCAGTAAACAACATCCAGCGTGTGCTAATAAACCTAAACCCCAGCAAATTATTATTATTGCCATTTATATAGCGCTTTACAATTTTATAAGATTTGACAAGAAATTAGACAATTCCAAAAACTTAAAGGAACAATAGGTTGAAGAGGACCTTGCTCAAATAAGCTTAGAAGCGGAGGTGGGGTATAAAACACAATAAAACAGGAATTGGTAAATTTTGAGGGGTACATTTTCTCTTTTGCAGTATGACTGCACCAATACATCTGGACCCAAAATAGCATTGCATGTTTTGGGAGTTTTTTTTCCCCCCCCCCCCACACTTACACAGGAATTTTGTCTCAATATCATTCAAAAAGTACTGTGAAGAAAAAAAAAAGAATCTTTTGACTTTGTAATAAAGGCTATGAACTGGATGACAAGCAACGGTTTACAATAGAGATATATGGACAAAAAGATTTTTTTATTCTTCCAATAGGAAAAATGAAAAAACATAGACTAATTAACCAATCTGATCAATTAGAACTATTTACCCAGATGATAAATGAAGAAACAAGAACAATGTACCTAACTTCTTTATGTACACAAGAACAAATTGAAATAATTGCAATAAACAGCTGGAATAAGAAGTTACAGATAAAGAACAGTGAAAATGGTTCAAAATGCTGACCCAAGTAAGCAAAGCTATACACTGTTTAAACATGATAGAGGTTCATTACAGATTAGTTAACAGATGGGATTACGACCCATTAAAACTTTTTTTAATTGTACCCAAATGATCTTCTGAGTGTTGGAGATGTGGAAAAACACGAGCACACTACATTCATATTTGGTGGTCATGCCCAGAAATACGTAAGATATGGGATTTAATTTTCAAATGGATAGAGGCACGGACAACAACAAAAAATTGAGTTCTCCTCTGTATCAGCTCTCCTTGATATAGGTTGGCAAAAAAGATAAGCGAGATTTAAGAATACATACATTATTAGCAAGCAAATTACATATAGCCAAAAACTGGAAATCCAATAATCCGCCAAAAATAATAGATATAAAATTACAAATTATAAATCAATGTCAAATGGGGCAGGGTATAGATAATCATTATAATTCAAGCTCAAGATGAATAGATTGGGCAGAAAGAATCAAAAAAGATAAACCAGGATAATAAAAAAGAAAGAAAAGGGAGGATAAGGAGAAAATGGAGTACGATATAGGAAAGAAGTAAAATAAAAAGTAGAAATATAAGGTTTAAGTATTAATATACAATGTGTGTAATGTATTGTGAGTTTTGATGTACAGAGGCATAAGAGAGGGTGTTATAGAAATATGTACAGGGAGATATAAACCCCGAAAGGGAAAAGAAATACAATGTAAAAAAATGGGCTAACAAAAAAAAAAAAAAAAAACACGTCTTTTTAAATGTATTGTATAAAAGATATATAAAAGGGATATGTACACATATGTTTTGAAAGACGACAATGTACATGTTGTATGATTTGTCAAAAAAGGAAAATAAACATATAATAATAATAATAATAATAATTTAAAAAAAAAAGTGAAACTTGAACTCTCCTCTACCAAATCACAAATGCTTTTATTCTGCAAAATACAACTTCATACCTGAAGATATATTTCCAGCCTCTTCTGGGTTAAGTTCATGGTCTGAAGTAGCTTTTCGTCCTGATTGGCTGACTGCACGTTTTGCTGCTTAGAGACCGCCCTTTTTTCCTTCATATACTTTTCTCTTACAGACTGAAACCAGTGCAGAGAATCAAACTCCTGGTACTGGTCCAAAAGCTTAAGGATGTAGGCGACCCCTATGATAAAATATAGACATTGGCAAATCATGCAAGTCAAAGACCACAATGTTCCAAAATCACCCTAGGGCTTATTCACTAAAGTGGGAATTGTTGCAGAGAATAAACATAACAACAAGAGTAGCTGAATATATAACCTAATTATAGAAAATGGATAGAACTGCAGGTTGGGAAATATATGCTTCAAAGAAAGGAGCATAGGACATTAACATCTCTTTTTTTCCATGGCAGCATTAACATAGAACAAATGAGCAATTCAAACAGCGAGGCGCGCAGGCCTCCAGGATTGTTAGGAATAGTTGATCTTTATACAGTGTACACGATGGACTCACAGGCCCGGTTGAGTTAAACATGCCGTTTTGAAATCGTGTTTCGTTAACCTTTATTACTGACAAGATGTAGGCATCTGTGGGTGTGTAGCGGCTTTATGAGGGACGAATCGTTCCGTTATTGTATTTATTTACAGGGTAAATCTCTCCATTTTGGTCAATAAAATTTTAATTAGAATTATTTTTGAACTGTTAAAAGCAATGCAGCCACCCAATCACCCATCGCCTCTAATGAGTAGTTACACCGATAATTACAATAGAGTAATTACAGCCTTTAGATGACAACTCAGAGATTAAACACGTCTTACCCATTGCAAAGCCATCATCCGTAAATGCAGCTCCAACTTTATTCTTCTTGTTCAGCTTTTCCTTACAGCTAATGGAGTGCTCAACAAAATTTAACGTCTACAAATGGAAAAAAGAAAAAACAAACAAAAAACAAACAAACTTAAGAACAAGAGGCAGCAAGCTTCATGACACAAAGCAAAAAAAACACAATCCATATGAAGAGCATAGGCCTATAAAAGAGGTATAGATTTCTGAAGCTTCACGACCGAATTCTGCTTGTCAAAAATAAATCACTAAAGAAATGAAGCAATAACCTGATACTATCTCTAATATCCAGGAATTATTGTTTCATCAGAACCTGGAAAATAAATCCAAATAGGCTCACTATAAACTCTTAAAATAGCAAACAGTAAGCAATATCATGGTTGCTTTCCAAAAAACAAAATAAGCTCAAATGCAAACAAACCCAAGGTTTTAAAAAGGTAAATCAAATGAACTCAAAAAAACCACTGGCACATTCTCCAAAAAGATGACATTCTAGGCAAGATTATTCCTGACTGGCCAATTATGATTTATAAGAAAGCAGACAATCTTAAAAGTAAGTTGGCTCCCAGTCTAAAAAAAAAAAAAAAAAAAACACCAAAATATGACAATATCAGTTATCAACAGAAATTATATAGCTGTGGCCATTGCTCAACCTGTACGCATCCAAAAAGTACCACAAAAACGTTTATTGGTACCTATGCAAAAAAGAATATACAATTAAAAAGTTTATATAGTGCTCCTCCTCGCATGTGGTCTGTTACAATGTGGCTGTAGGACCCAAATCGTTGGCAGAACAATTCATAGGCTACATGTAAGAATACGGGAGCACTTTAATAACATATGGAAAAGGACACCAATCAGTGTCCCTAGACACTGTAATACGTGTCCAGCTTTCCAATGGCACAGCTTTGTAGCTATAGGTATAGACCAGGTGATAATAGATCATTGGAACTTACCAAAAACGAAGCCTAATGGATCTTTAATTTAAAAACCCTCAAGTTAGGTCTTAATATAGATATTGATTTTGCTGGTCTAATTTAATTTCCGCATTCTTATCTGGTTTCAGTTTTTTCTATTCATGGGAATTTTGCACACAGTTACATATCGATGGGTGGCTATCCAATATATATATATATATATATATATATATATATATAAAAAACTTAAATAACACTCATACACATCTTTTTTATACACTTAAACGGTTTTATAGTGAATGAGCAGGTTGCTTGGTGGCAATCCATTCACTGAATATGTATATATTTTTCTGCCTAATCTGTATATATTTTTTGCTGGTGTGTGTATATACAGTTGCAAGAAAAAGTATGTGGACCCTTTTTTCACAAGTACGCAGTACACTTTTTCCACCTGCACTGTGAATGTTTACATGGTGTGTTCAATAAAAACATGGCAACATTTCATTCTTTGTGTGTTATTAGTTTAAGCAGACTGTGATTGTCTATTGTTGTGACTTAGATGATGATCAGATCACATTTTATGACCAATTTGTGCAGAAATCCATATCATTCCAAAGGGTTCACATCCTTTTTCTTGCAACTGTATGTGTGATATATATATATATTTGTATTTTCTATGTGAATACTGAGCACAGATTGCATGTGTGTGACTTTGTTTCCGCACAGCCTTTTGTTTTTGTTTATTTGAGGTGAAGGTGTTTGTTCAATCATTACAGAAGCCAATACTCACGTGTGACTTTTTTCACAAGTACGCATGCGTGTATCCGCAATCTGTCTGTCAGACGGACACAGCCGAATGACGGAAATGACCTGAAGAGGAAATGAACAGTGCATCCCATGGTGGAACGCATTTGACCGCCAGCTGATCTGAAATTAGGAGCCATATAAAAACCGACAAGGGACCACAATGTCCCGGTCTCTGAAGGAGCCCACAATTTGGATGAAACACGTCGGATGCTGAATTCTTGGGACTTAATTTATGTTATTTTATTACTTGTTCATCGGTTATTGTTCCTGCCCACTCCTACCTGCTGATTTTAAGATCCACTCCAGGTGGAGGTAAGCTTAAATCTACTGCCTTCTTGTGCATTATTATTACATAAAGTGTTTTTTTAACATTATCACACTTATTGGTTCATTTTTTTCTTATGATCTACAGCTACATACTGAAGTACAGTATAACAGACCCTTACCCCTTTGAGGGGAGATAAGCCTGCATTCTCCTACGTCTTGTGAGTGCTCTCACTCCCCCCCCTCCCTTTCCTCTTCATTATTGGATTACACTATATATCATTCTTGTCTTTTAGATCTGTGATCAGATTCTCACATATACCCTCGGATGGTATTTATTTGCTCATTTACATGCTGCGTAGTTGTTTTTTCTTATACTTTGCATAAGCGTTTGTTTGCTTTTTTATAGTGGTGTTGGGAGGTTCACCAAGTCAGCTCCTAATTCTATTTTGCACTCCTAATATAGTAACTAATTTTTAGTATTATCCCTCATAACGAACACCGGCTGGGTACCAGTAGTATACAGCTGCATATGACAAAGTGAGGGTTGGTAAAAAAATAAAATAAACTGAAGTCACCACAGTTTTAAGCACCCCATACCCACCATACCCATATTCCTGCCATCATCATAAAAGATGTGACCCTCTCTCCACCTCCCCACGGAGACCGTAAGCTTCCATCACTTTAAGTAAAAGTCAATTTTTTTGTTTCTCCTGTATGAACTATAAATAATGGACTTCAAATCACTGTTCAGCCAATCAACATCTTAACAGTGCTCAGGCAGTCTGATCTACCAAATTCAAAATCAGAAAAACAGAACCAGGCATGGACAACAACACCCAGCTTGAGCATACCAGAGGTGGAACAATGCTGTAGAAGTTCCTAAGATGAATATTCTTTGTGCTGCGGAACTCAGGGGCAAACACATCCACCAGCATTTTGAAGTATTCTGTACCTTCTGCGGAGTTGCGTGTAAGGTCTGTTAGAACTGAATCCAGCTGTCTGCATATAGAAACAAGAGGTTCACTGAGAAACATAGGCTAGAGTTTAGGGATGTATAGGTAAGGGTTAGTATTTTGAATTGACACCTATAGTATACAGGAAGCCAGTGTAGGGATCGACAGAGGGGAGAGATATCAGAGGTTATTCCATGAACTATGAAATGTAAGGAAGACAAAGTGAATTTGAAATTTTAGGTCAAAATGGCTGAATTTGAAACATTCTCAGTTAGACAATTTGGGCACAACATTTGACAAGTCACGTTGATTACACTTGCATTTCCAAACAGATTACAACTTGTATAGGAGTTTCACTGCACTAATACAAACCTTGCAGCCTTCTGGGTTTCTTCCGACAGTCCCTCTTCCTTAACCAGCTCTTCAAAATTCACTATATCTTCCAGATCTGGAACAAATCTGCAAAGTCAAGATTAAAGGCTTAGTGTAATGATATTATTTTAAATTAAATGTGTCCCTTTACAATTTAGGTTACTGGACGACCCTTTATAGTTCTATTAAAAAACAAACAAATCACATACTTTAAATATAGTAATATTAAAGGGGCGGAGTCACCTAACTAAGCAGATGTGTTCAGCAGTTGCTACGAGGAGAACTGGCTTTCTTCACAAATTATTATTCAGAGAAAACTAATTTCATAGCTATCAGCTATTTTAACAACTGATTTCCGGGGCAACTGTGGGGCAATGCTCCAAGCTAGCAAATATCAGCACCGATACTAAATCTCCCAACATTGGGGACCTACTCCTATGCCAACTGAACTTAATGTAAGCCTCAAATAAAAAAAAAAAAATATGTTAAAGGAACACTATAGGGTCAGGAACACAAACATGTATTCCTGACACAATAGTGTTAAAATCACCTTTTGGGGGGGGGGCGGAGCCAGCAGCCGAGTGAAGCGGACGTGCAGCCTCAGAGCTCCGTAGCCAACAGCCTGAAAATCTGTAAAATAACGGAACAAAAAGCGAAATACCACCCTATTTCACAGCACCCAGAGATGGGAAAGAAGCCCAAACACCGGGGGGCCGCAAAACTGACAGGGGCTCGTGATATCGGAGCACTTCTCCTCCGAACCGCCAAGGCCGCAGTAACCCCCGCGCCGAATCAAAATGGCGACTCTGCCTCGGCGTCCTCCGCAGAACAGCTCCTTGATGAGCTGGACGACTTCCCCGACACAGGGGGATTACACAGTGTATCTTCAGACGAAGACAACGACCTACCCTCCACCAAAGGGGACATAAAAGCCCTCCTATGCAATATACGTTCCCTCTTCGCGGCAGACATGGCGGTTCTGAGAGAAGAGATTCACACCGTGGAGGGGCGAATGAGGAAGACGGAGGCGGAATCGCAGGGCCTCGCCGCACGCTGTGTACAATTAGAGGCTCACAACACAGAGCTGCAGCGTGCCCAGGCACTGCTCACCACCCGCCTGGACGCAATGGAGGACCGGCACAGACGCCGCAACGTGAAGATCAGAGGGGTCCCTGAAACAGTGACCCAGGAAGGCATACAGGGATATCTTGGGCGGCTTCTCGCCTCCCTGCTCACACCACAGCAGATGAAGACGGCCCTAACGGACGGGTCTTACAGAATCCCAAGAGCCGCTAGAGCCAGCAGACACCCCGAGAGACATCATCCTCCAATTTCAAACGCAGACAGGCCAAGCAACCTTTATGGCAGCGGTGAGAGGAAAGGCATCCCACCTCTTCGAGACAGCTAGCCTGTCGTTCTTCCAAGATCTATCCAGGCCCACGTTGCTGTGGAGAAGCCTCCTCAAACCCCTGACGACCGCTCTCCGCCAAGCCTCAGTCCCATACCGTTGGGCATTCCCCAGAAGCTTGCTCATCACGCATAAAGGCGCATCCACACGGGTCACTGACCCATCCGAAATAGATTCAGTACTGACAGCGCTGGGCCTATCACCGAGACAGGAACAAGCTAATACCGACCAGAGGCCAAAGACCCAACACACCTGGGATGTAGCAAACGTAAGACCGTTCCAACCAGTCACCACCGGTGCCTCATCCTCCACCGCCTACAAGGCGCAACGGGCAAACCGGCACCTTGCGGACACCTGAGAAGACAAGTGCCAGAACTACGACAAACCACCAGGCAGGACTACCGCACAATTGACTTACGGCATTTAGTTAATAGCCCACCCCCCATTTTACATGGACACGCACAACAGACCTACTCTAACGAGCGCCCACCGCGCCAGAGAACCACCCTCAGCAAAAGACCGGCACAAAACAACGCAACACTCCACGACCTCAGCAACACCGGTAGGCAGGGGATCAAGACTGGTCCCATGCCATCCGCAGCGAATCCACTGATAGACATTCTGACAAACTACCTGAACAGGTCTGTCAGCTGGCCCATGGCCTCAACTAGCAAGGAGCCATCCAGTTTTTGTATAGCGTTGACTCGTCCAGTATTACGTTGTCTTGGCCCTAACAACCATCTTGCTTAAGTTTAGTTTGTTGTATTTAATCTTTATGCCCCACCAGGTACTTAGCCAGACCGAAGTAGAGTTAGCCCTCCATGTCACCTGCCATGGACACTACGAGACAAGACATGTACGCTGAGGGCCCATCCCCCCACGCTCACACCTGATGTTATCACTTAGTTTACCACAGCCTTAATGTTTATATGTCTATCAAGATGCTATTGCCAGTTTCATGTAATGAATCGTAGGTCCTGCAGTAAGACCGTTTGTTTTTTGCTTTTTAGTTAACGAGCCAGGGGGACCCAAATATGGAGGCTGTCTACTTACTAGCTTAAGAGGGGCGCACTTACATACTATAACACCAATGCAAAATATACCGTAACCTCACAAATGACACCCAGTGGTCACTATGCTACAGTAGTAATAATTATGGTTTAGCATGACACGAGACCTATTCAATATGTCTAAAATGCGGTAACCGTCATCCCTATCTGACACAACCTGATTCTGCTTACTTGTTTATTACTTTTACACAATGTATGTTATTAGGATGCCTACTTGTTTAGACATTTTCATGTTTTAAAAAAAAAAAAGTGCCAACTAATCTGTCACAATTTGTAAAGATATGGTCAAACTTGTTGCTGCTATGGTGACTATCCACGCTTAATGTCAATTTATGCACAAGAAAAATAAAGAATTTAAAAAAAAAAAAAAAGAGATGTGATAGCATTGTGAAATTAATGCTCCATGTGGATTTTTTAAAATCACTATTTAGTAAATATACCTCAATGAAAACCTGCATTTGTTTCTGCAATCTTTCATCAGTGGTATATATAAAATCAACTTGCAAATCCTGCAGATCTCTTGTCTGCAGCCTTTACAAGTTCTCCCCTTTTTCCATTTCACAGACTTTCAGTCTGTGCCGTGAAAATGACCAATCAGAGGCTTCTTACTGAGGAGCCTCTGTTTTTGAGCTGCAAGAGTGGGCATGCGTGGCTTTCCAGGGAGAACTCTGGAAGTTTCAGTAAAATGAGTCCTCTGAACATGCACTCACAGGCACATTGTCACCAGGGGGTAAAGGCAGGTGAAGTCTAGCAGAGTTGGGATGATATCCTCCCTAGCTCTATAATTATTACAGTTATCTATATAATTGCCGATTTCACATAGAAATGTGCACCTTTTTAAACTGCAGTTAACATGACCTGCTCCCGATGCATAAAGCCCTTAAGCAAGCTGAAGTTCTGTATATTTAATCACAATCTTATTTTTGATTATTAGCTAATGTATTGTACTACATACATGTTAAATTATGACGTTAAAATATATACATTGTGCTAGTAAGATCATTGAATCTGGACTTCCTTTAATTATTTCGTTATATATAAAGTTAACTTTACTACCTGATGTTTGCTTGTGTGTGTCACCTGTGGGTGGCTGTGCTGGCCATTTGCTCCCGCAATGATATTTTTAAGAACTTTTAAGTTTCTGCATTTCACTTTTGCTGCTGTACATGTTATTAATACCTCTTTACCAACTGCATAGATGCAAACTATTAATATAAAAGTGCATTTACTTGAAAATGACAATTATACAGCGTCATCGTGGTTGTGGCTTCCCCTTGCTATGTAGTCCGAGCTGAGCATTTTAATACAAAGAAATAAAGGTACTCAAATAAAATGTTTAATTGCAAAAAAAAAATTAAAAAAAATCACCTTTTAGGTGGCTTGTGTCCCCCCCTTAACCCTGTTAAAAGGTAAAAAAAAAAAAAAAAAAAACCTACCTTCATTTCCAGTGCAGCACAGCTCCTTGCAGACATCAGATTGATGATTTCCCATAGGAAAAGCATTTTATTAGCTGAAATGGGCAAGGAGGCAGGGTCAGGTGCAGGGCCAAACGCTGGCTTGGCCAATCAGCACCTCCTCAGAGATGCAAATTCAGCATCTCCATGCAGATCGTGGAGACGCTGAATGGAAGTGCTGCACAATGTGAAGCAGTTCCAGTGGCCATCTGAGGAGTGGCCACTGGAGGTGTCCCTCAAGGGCAATGTAACCACTGCCTTTTCTGTAAAAAAGGCAGTGTTTACATGAAAATGCCAGCAGGGAATGATTATACTCACCAGAACAACTACATTAAGCTGTAGTTGTTCTGGTGACTATAATGTACCTGTAAAAAAAAAAAGTCATAAAGTAGTTTAATTTAGTATACCTGATTGCATTGCTGCAGCAGTGAAGCCCACCAGATCGTATCATCCTGACATAGCCCATAGCATTTCCTAAAAATAAGATAATACAGTATTAGCAACATTCATTGTTAGTCCAGGGAAGTTTCTCTATTGACAAAAAAGCAAAATTAAAGGAAAAATTAAGAAAACAAGGGGAAAATAAATACATTTTGCTCTCACCTATTTGGCTAATAAGTTGCCGGAATTGATCGAGGTAGCTTTGCCCATCAGGTGTAAGACCCAACTTCCGTATTCCACGGTTAAACTTTTCTGCCCTTTCAAAAGGATACTAAAGGGACAAATCCCAAAAGAAGTGTTAAACAGATACTATTACTCACATAGCACCATATCGGAGTGCTTCTAGGCAATAAGCATTAAAATTGACTATAGTGATATATAAACGTGTGCTCTTAGAAACACTGATAATGGTACATTGGAGGAGATGCTAAAAAATAAAAAACACAACCAATTTCTTTTGTATCCTGTGATACAAATAAGATTTGCATGAGATATAATACATATTAGCAGTTTGTATGGGGAGGAAGATTTTGAAAATATACATTATATTAAAAGATTTCAAACCTTGAAGATCATAACACAATACCTGACATTTTGCCATCTGACCATGTGAAAAGGTTGGCAGATGTGCTGGAAAATAGTGTTCTGTTTCCAAGTGTTAAACTAGGCAATGATTTGGAAGAACAAGTTTCAGAGGAACTATTTCTCTATTTAAAGAGCCTGCAAATTACAACCTTTTATGTGTGGATAAAGGGTGAGGGGTCCACGCATGTTGCGTGACGTGTCAAAAATGACATTATTGACTTCTCCGCTAACTAAAAAATGTACTTAATGCCTATTTAAACAATTTTATAAATCTACACAGGAAGATCACAGAATTCCTAGTTTTTTTTAATAGTAATTTATTTATACAATTTATAGAGATACAGAGTAAAGGAGATCATCTGCTAAAAGCAAATCAAATCAGTATAAAAAGTATCATAACACTAAGAGAAATCGGTCAGGAAATAAACCAGGAAGAACAGCATCCATAAGCAGTGCAATAAGTTACAGAAATGTTAGGGCAGTGAAAGTAGCTTTAATAAAGTCTATCACGCACTAATGGTACCAACAATATTTACCTTTTGATCATTTTGATCTTTAACTTCTCTGAAATAACGAATGTCCTTGATCAGTCGGGACTTGATATGCTCATCGTACATAAACTGACTAAAAATATAGAACTTCTTCCTTAGGAACTGGTATGTGAAGTTTACCTGAAGGACAAAATGAAAATCATCACAGCAAATAACTGTATTCGAAGAACAAATTACTCCATCAGCAATTTCTCAGTTTGTTTTAAAACAACCAACTAAAACGGACATACAATTTCCTAATAGTTTAAACTGAATGGAGCCAATGTGTGAGGTTTATAAAAGTCTCACTAACAACAAAATGAGGCAACGTTCTATCAGTCGAGCAATCACTGTGGAAACTGAGGGAATCAGCAGGAACATTGCTTCGATTGCCATAAAGACTGCTCCATTTTTTTTAAAACAATATCCACAATCTTCCGCTAGTGGCGCTGAAATACCACCGATGGTCAGTAGAAAAGCTAAAGGAATGCTTACAGTTGTACTCATGATCCCTGTGCCATGCGTTCGGATGGAATTGGCGATATGTCGGATGTTGATGGTGTTCAGATGCTTGTTATTGCTGGTCCTCTCCACGAAGATCTACACACAAAAAAAGGAAGATGAGACATTGTCCGCATGTATCTCCTGGAACCACTGCATCTACAGTATGGAACCAGGCTCATAAGGTCATCACAAAGAAGTCACATACCTACCTGATTATTGAGGTTGTACAGGTAGCGGGATACAAACACATGGATATTCCTCATTATTTCCAGAACATCTAAACCCTGAAATAAAAGGTTTTGCATACTATGTAAGAGATGTTTAGATTTTTTACAAAATGTATGCATAGCAAGATTTTATAGGGTATACATTCATTGATGCTTATGGTCTATCCATGTGGCCAACCACAAAAGATAAATCGACTAGTAACACTTACATTTTACACCTTTTGGGCCACTAGCCATAATTAAAGTATACACTGTTGTGTATTTTAACAAGTGTTCTTTTGAAAGTGCCTTACATTTTACCTATACATTGTGTTAGCAGTTTTGCAAGCAAAATGTATAGACTGGGGAAAAAACACTTAAAAAAACAGCCTCTCTCTCACCGGTCAGTAAAATGTTTGACAAAGACTATGCCGAAGAATTCACTAACAAGAGAGAGCAGAAAAGAACTCCCGTGCAGGTAGTACTTCTGCTCCACGCATTGCAACCACAGTGTGGTTGCTATTGTAACTCCCTCACCCAACGCTGCTAGAGCCGACTGACTTTGTTCAGATAACAACATGCTTGCAATGTCAGCCAGGAGGTTTGCCCTGCTTGGGGACACCTGGGTCAAATTAAAGAAGAGAGCAGGAGGAACACGGAGCGTAACGGAGGTGTTACAAGAAGAGTAACACCCATGAAGATGAGAAAATGGCGGTGCTGGAGTCGGGTATGGTAGGTGCATCTAAAAAATAAGCATTTACTGCATTATGTATCATTGCGATACATCATGTATTCAATATATTTTGGAGAGATTTAAGCTATTAAAAATTTGCGTGACCGGTTCACTTGAAGAATTGGGTCTAAGTTAATGCTGTTTCATTGTCATGTACGCAGACCTAACCTCAACATTTTAAGAGCCCCAAACAGAGCAAATATGTGATTGTTAATAAATATATTAAAGTAAAATATTCTATCTAGCAGGATTTACCATTTTGGACAATATTGGCTGTAAACTGTGAGATCGAGTATCTAATCAATAGTTAGATCACTTTATGCACAGAGTCTTGTAAATAGATCACAAAAAACATTCACAGATTGACTTCTAGTGCAGCAAATTATCAGTGGCTGCTAACTTACATTGTGTTTATACGAGACAATTGATATACAAACAGAATAGGCCAGCCATTTTTCTTTTTTGGAATACTTTGTATTTTATAGAATGCACAGACGCCATTGTACACAGTAAATACCTGTTCTAATGTCTGACTTGGTAAATGGGGCTCTGTCATCGTCAAACCATATCGCTGGGTGGCCAAGTTTCGCATTTCACTGTAAGTGGCCCAATCATGGAGAGCAACCGTTGTGAGATTATAAAATGTTTTATCCAGATAATGTGTGACATAGGCTACAAAAAAAACAAAAAAAAAACCACAGCAAATTCAGACCAGCCAAAGAACAATAAAAGGAAAAGCAGTTGCAAAGTCCAAATAATTAAACAAATTAAAAACCCTCAAGCAGACCAATTACCACATTTTCCCTCATGTTTTACATGTAAAAGAAACAAAGATCATTATTTTTCCGTTATGTCGCCAAAACCATATTCAACACTATCATATATGTCACTTCTCTGCTTGAAATTGGAATAAAATACATGAAACAATGTAAAACTATATAACACACATCAAAAAAACTGCAGATATCGAATACTTTAAATCCCAAAAGATAACTTATTTTCACTGAAAAGTGTTTATTACCTCTTTTTATTGACAAGTACAATTCAACTCACCACAGCATATGCTATGGAAGCATTTATTGTGGTGAGGTGTATAAAACACAGATTCAAAACCAGCATTTTCAGAAGACTAGTGGTCTATGTGCACATAAACACAGGAAGAAAAATGTATAAAAGATGTCAGGTTGTGTCTTGCATTCAGTACACAGTGTTAACTTTAGTCAACTAAAATGTTTTAGGTTTAGTTGACTAAACCTAGACTAAAGCTAAACCAATTCAGATGACTAAAATGGTGTTTTAGTCAAAAGACGATTACTAAAACTAAATAGTAATTAAGAACATTCAAATACAATGTGTGATTATTTTAGTTGCATTATGGTGTGAAAGCAAAATCTATGATTGCCATCTCACCTTTGATATCAATAAACCGGTCAAAAAAGCGAATGGGTTTTAATGAAAAGAAGTATGCCAAATCCTTCATGCCGACTTTGAATGGATTCCTCTCATCGAGCTTGAGGTGAGTATGGACCGACAGACGCAGATCTTTCTCTATCTCTTTACACAACTTGTCCAACAGGTGCTAGGAAACCATAGACAGACAATATTAGCATTTATATAGCGCTAACATTCTGTGAAGCATTTCCGTAAATAAAAATGTTAACAGACCGAAGAGCTAAAGAAAGTCCTGATCAAATGAGCGTACAAGCTAGAAGATAATTCGTAGATTTGTTATTGACGACTTGATAGATTGTTTAATGTGTTATTATTTTTTTTATTTTTTTTTTTACATTTCAAAAAAATTAAACGTTAAATAAATCTGCTCCTAAACATATCTGGTGAAAAATATATTTTAATCAGTTAGCAAATTTTTTTTATTTCTTTTAATGTTTAGTGTTAATGAACATTGGAGATAGAAACTACTAGTATACCATTTAACACTTGAGCAATATGTACAATGATGGCCATGTTTGAAAGGCAAATAGTGAATAATTATAAAACAAATTTAAATAGAGTCGCAAATTTGAAAGAGGTTGTATGTATTCATGTAATGTTAAAGTTCTATTCTTTGTTATTTGTAAAGCAAACAAAAAGGAAACAATATAAAATAAAAACACCAATAAAAACTAATTGTAAAATACTGATAGGTTTAAGATAGGTTTAAATCCATACAAAAGCGTTACCTCTGTTAATACATCCATAATTTCCTTGTCATAGCACTGAAGTAATAACTTGTAGGAGTCTAAATGTCTGGAATGCATCATGGATGGGACACAGCTCCACAACGCACTGAACATAAACTAAATGAAAAGGTTAGAGTTATAACAAAGCATGATTTTACTTATATTAGACAATTACTTCATCAAGGAATCGTAATATCATGCAAATAAAAAGATGGCTAATTATGACAGTCACTGTGTTTAAAAGAGCATTTATTAAAGATCAGACTCTGTTCATTACGTAAGCACATAACAAGGTACTTATCAGAACTACAAAGTGTAATTCTGGGAGGAAGGTCTAAAAATTAAATGATCAGTAGAAAGGGTATAGGGTGCATAGCTCAGTGCTAGAGCATCTCACTGCAAATCAAGAGGTCGAAGGTTCAAATCCTTCTGAACCCTAACTTGGATATCATTGATTCCACACTTTTAAAATACATAAAGGGAATCAACACAGTAAGGGCAATAATATATTTAAAATAAGAAAAACTACCACAACAAGAGGACATAGTCTTAAATTAGAGGGGCAAAGGTTTAAAAATCATATCAGGAAGTATTACGTTACAGAGAGGGTAGTGGAAGTGTTAGAGGTTAACACAGTGAAGGAGTTTAAGCATGTGTGGGATAGGCAGAAGGCTTTACTAATTACAAGATAAGGCCTAATGAACGTATTTAGACTAGATGGGTCGAATGGTTCTCATCTGCCGTCACATTCTTTGTTCTTAAAATAACACATTTCTATGCTTACCTGCTTCACTGTTTAGAATTATAAGACTTAAAACTATTACCAATAAAGTGGATACTCCTTTTTACCCATCTCTCTCCCTCCCTTTTAAGAAAAGCTGGAGGGTCTTGAGTTTTTACACAGAGTAAATTAACCCTATTATATAAAAAATATAGTAACTTACATGTATTCTGGATGCATCCACGGCATTCTCATACAAATCGTCCAAATAGATGGGGAATACTGCTCGGTGCCAGTACAGGAAACAGCAGTCACATTGGGCCCGGACTCTACAAGTAAATCCATAGTTATTAAGAAACAGAAAAGAAGAGTTTTAATCAGACACGAAAGCCCAACACGTGCAGATCATTACCTTTCCCTCAGCTCACTAATAAGATCCAACTTCTTCAAAACAATGAGAAGTGGGAGAAGTTCTTCATCTTTAAAGGTTTTCTGCAGAAAGATAATAAAATGATTGATTTCCAGCATCAGCATCATGCCTGATTCTAAAGACAGAGTTAGGAGATGGAATGTTGAGTCCAGTAACTAGAAAGCAGTTGGGCACACGGCTGCTTCTGCTTCCTGTATATTAGTGACTTACCATCTGTGTTCCTACACTTAATGCCAGGGAAACAACGAGCCTCCTCTGCCGTGTACTTGGTCCATTGAGTGTATTTTCTGCTAACACAAGTGCCGACAGGACGTCTAACCTCTTCTCACTATATTTCTTGTCTGAGATTACTCTTTTCTGAATAATAGAGAAAAAACAAAACAAAAGAAAAAGCCTTAGAAACACAGTTTTAATACCTCTCATTCGGTTTCTGTAAAAACAATACATTTGAACATTTCAGTGTTATTATTCTAGTAGAGCACATGGAGGAAGATTTATCAGGCTAAAAACAAGAGCAATTCTGGGACAAGGTCCTAAATAAGGAGCAATCACCATGGAAACCAATGAAATATCGCTGAGCATTGTGTACTTTGCTCCCAGAATAGCAACTATTTTGCCTTGATGAATCTCCTCCGAGCGATCTGTGCTCCCATAGACTGAAAATGAGAGAACAAACACGCCATGCAGAACAATTTAATAGACAAATTCTGTCTACGTTATTAAAAGTGAAGTTTTGCTTATTGTCTCTTCTGTTTCTTGTAATAAAAAGAAGAAACAAAGTGTGATAAAAAAAATAAAATAAAAAATAGTATTCCTGTACTATCAGTATACTCCAACTGCAATGCCCAGCTACGGCTTCATGTTGGTCAGTGACCTTATAGAGTGCAGTATAGACACAAGCAGACTTAAAAAAATCATTTGGAAAGAATCAAAATATATAAAATGTGCTGATTTAAATGGCATGTGATGTCTAGACCGTTATACACGTGTATAAATGAGTTATTTATTAAATATGTTCATATTCTGCACACAGACCATAGATTTCACAGGGAAATTGCAAAGGATGCTGGTTAATATGCACACAGAGCTGTAATTGGCCAAGCATGTTTTAATAAACAAAATGGCAATACGGGGATATCATTGGGACTATATAACAGTATGAAGGCCCTTTTAATAAATATGTACTTAAAGGACCACCATTGGCACCCAGACCACTTCAGCTCAATGAAGTGGTCTGGGTGCCAGGTCCCACAGGTTTTAACCCTGCAGTGTAAACATAGCAGTTTCAGAGAAACTGCTATGTTTACACTGCAGGGTTAATCCAGCCTCTAGTGGCTGTCTCACTGAAGGCCGCTTCCGCGATTCTCACGGTGAAAATCACCGTGTGAAGACACTGACGTCCATATGAAAGCATTGAGTAATGTTTTCCTATGGGCATTTTTAATGCGTGTCTGAGGTGGAGGTGAGGTCACCAGCGCCGAGGGAACCCGGCACTGGAGAAAGTTAAGTGGCTGAACGGGTTCTAACCCCTTCAGGCGAGTGGGAGGGGGGACCTAAGGACTACATAGTGCCGGGAAAACGAGTTTGTTTTCCTGGCACTATAGTGGTCCTTTAAATTTGAATGATATTTTTATGTTAATACTTAATGTCATGAATATGTGCTATTTAGGTAAATGTTTAACAGTTATTGTAAGCAAGTAAAACCTTTAAAAAAATAAAAAATAAAAATTTTATGGGCAATGTGGGAGACATTTTGCTCAGGTACCTCCGGTATTTTACCCTTTTTATATTGGGTATGATTTTTATGTGTAAGTGTTTATGTATTGGGGAGAAACCTGAAGAGGATATTCCCTCCCTCTTCTAATTTCTTCCCTGCCTCTTTCTTTTTTTTTTTAAATGGAGTAATATTCAAAGTTGATGACATTGTCGTCAGTACCCAATTTGCATGGTTACTAACGCAAGTTATTTTTGCTATCTTATTTGTATGTGGTGTGATATTTGGCAGAGTTACATAGATATGATGTACAATTTTAGTAGCGGTCTTATTTATTTGGTTAAAAAAAATAAATAAAAAGGGTAGTTTTGAATATTATTTTCCAGAAAATGAAGATTTAGAAGCTGGATGCATATTATAACAAATGGTACCTTGGCAACAGCGATGGCAGTAAGTGCTTGATGCTGCAAGTGTTGAGTAATGTGGGAAACAGAATCTGCAACCACCATACTTCTTCTGTGGAAAGTGTGTTCTATCGCCTGAAATCACACATCCAACCAAAAACACTTAATGCAGGGGAAAAAAACAAACAAACAAACATGGAATAGTGAATAGCACCAAGATCAGCTTGTTATAGGAATGAAGCTGGTTAAATCAGTAATACAGTCAAGAGGAAATTGCTAACTTATGAAACAAACATTAATTTATCGTCATAGCTAAGGAGTTGGACAATGCTGGTTTAGATTATCAGCTAAATCAACAAAAGTAAATCACATAAACACCTGGAAACAAAACTTACCTTACCAACTTAAGTTGGTTCTTAACCTCTAGTTAGAGTATTGAAAGTGACAATTTAGATCCCTAAAGCACTTCAGCGTAATGAATGTTTGAAGAGTAAATCCTCTATTTATTTTACAAAAAATGCAGATTTCAATAGAAATTGGTACTTTTATAAATTAACAGTGTTAAAGCCTCTGACTGTTTATCAGGCAACAGGTCCTGTTACTTCCAGGTTTGGTTTGCTCAGTGGAGCTAAACTTGAGAGGCAGGTAATTGCCTGGAACACCTGCCTTGCAAAGATTTCTCATTGAGATGTATTGGGAAGTCTGTGATTGGACAGTCACAAAGTCTGGCTGGATTAAAAAGGGAGGACTTTCAAAGGATTCCGACAAGAAATTTGCAGATGGTGTAAGTTGTTTTTAGATATAACTCAATTTAAAACTGCATAATTTAATACAAGCATATTTTCATTTGGGGGTGCAACAGTGATTATTTTTTTGGACAGGAGTGTCTGTCCCTTTCAGCAAGTTTAGTGTTCCAATGTTGGAACAGATACATGATTTTTATCAAAACATCAGGTCCCAAGCAACTGCCCGAAATATATTATTTATTGTAGCGCTGCTTTTACCATTACAGTGAAGACTACTTGCAGACTGGAAAGACAGTAGAAATCTAAACTTATTCTGTTCTACATTACAAGAACCCTGACCTAACTTTCAAAGCAGACTTCTGTTGAAAGCTTTCAATGGTGGTTTGAAAGATGGCAACTTACATTTTTCTTATCTATTTAAGTGTAACACTGAGGTACAGAGTTGCTGTATGTGCTGATTGACAGTTAACTCAATGGAGAATAACAAACATTAAAAGAATTTGTAGGACAGGCGGCATTTGCATTACTTACCTTGAGAAGCTCTACAAGTCTACATAATGATTTCACAGATGTTTTGGTCATTGGCTTCTGCATAGACATATACAAGTTCATAGTAGTTTTGATGCTGTTGCTAAGGCCGCATGCATATAGGAAGCCCTAAAAAATAAACAAATAAAAAATGGAGGGAAAACATAAAACAAAAACACGTGAACGATCCCACAATAAACCTTAAACTGACATTTAAGGGCCAAAATCAGCACATGTAGTGTAGTTTCTGGAGGGGGGGGGAGGGACAGTCTCCATGCATTCAGCATGCAAGGAGACACGTCCATTCTAAAATACATCGTTACTGGTATGTGATGTCCCACTCAGTTTATCTGTACAGTTTCTATAATAACACCGTTGTATGGATGATTGAAAGCACCTGGGGTTTAGCAGGTCTATTTTGTATCTGCGTTACCCATTTATATCTACTTGTTACAGTCACTGAACTTGTCTGTTTTTAAAGTCTGGTGATGTCTGCAATGTAATGAACATTACTGTGCCAAGACTTTTCTACAAAACTAATCGTTTAGTGGACTGTTTAAAACAAGCTGCAGACTGTCATACTAGTAAACTGTATGAAAGGGAAATTCAGCAAAACTATTTTAAAACATTTATATTCAACAGAACCTTACCTGTACAAATATATTACATCTATTGGTCAAATCCTCCGCAAATTTGTCGACTTTCTGTTCTTTTGCCAAAATGGCTTCCATTTTCATCATCCAAGAACTGACAAACACATAGTATGACTGGACATCTCTTGGAGAAAGGGCATAGCATAGAGTTAGTGCAAAAGATACAACTGACAATATAAACATATACTGAAATGCACCTTTATATTATAGATCTGAGCAGTTTGACAAAAACTAAGCCACTGCCAGCACCCAAAGCCCGGACAACCTCCTGCCAATGATATTATGCAGACGTTTCACTTAAACACTGGGCACTAAAAACTGAATCTGAATTTGGCTAAACTTTAGGATTTTAGTTATGGTATTTTTTTGTACTAATCCATACAAATCTACATAATGATAGACTACGTGCTGGGGTGGCATAGCTCAGGGATTATGGCCTATCACCGCCATCTAAATTTGGACCATTCCATAAGCGTTTTAGACTGATCTCATCTACAAAGGCAGTCAAAAAGCACCATGTCAAGCAAGTATCCTGTATCAATGAAAGCTTAAAGGAACACTATAGGTTAAGGAACACAAACATGTATTCCTGACCCTGTAGTGTTAAAACCACCATATAGCCCCTCCATGCCTCCCTAAATACAGTAAAACATTACTTGTATTCAAGTCTGCAGCTGCTGCCTCTGATCTGCCTGCTGACATCATCAGAAGTGGTGGTCTGAGCCAATCACAATGCCTTCCCCATAGGATTGGCTGAGAATTTCAAGGAGGCAGATCAGGGGCAGAGCCAGCACAAGTCAAACATAGCACTGACCAATCAGCATCTCCTCATAGATATTAATTGAATCAATGCATCTCAATAAGAAAAGCTCATTGTCTCCATGCAGAGGGAGAAGATACTGATTGCAGTACTGCACAGTGTGCAGAACTGCCCCAGGAAGCACCTCTAGTAGCCATCTGAGGTGTGTCCAGCGGAGGTTTCCCTAGACTGTTTCAAAACTGCATTTTCTCTAAAAAAGACAGTGTTTATTGCAAAAAGCCTGAAGGGAATGATTATACTCATCAGAACAAATGCAATAAGCTGTAGTTGTTCTGGTGACTATAGTGTCCCTTTGTCAGTCTCAAAAAGTCTTCCTCAATGTAGAATGGCTGGTATCCATCTAGATACAGTGTGGCCATGTAGGCATTTGCAAATAAGGCACTGTCTGTAAAAGACATTCACAGAAAATTGAATGCTTAAGAGCTTTCCCTAGGAGAAAAATTCACTTGGGAATATCTTTAAAAAGTATTAACTCACTTGTAACAAAAAAGGGGACTGCATGGGGATGGTCTATCCGCAGAGTTAAGTAAACCAAATCTAACATTTCTGAGACAGACTGCGTTAATGGACACAATAAAGTCTGAATTATTTAAATTTGGATAAAATGGATACTGGTATTGTGGAAGTGTCATTCCTCATTTGCAATATGCAAACATAGGGCCCAGGACGTGTGCTCCCCACGAGGACTCTCGGGTTGTGTCAAACTGCTTGAAAACCGTTTAAAACACATGACGGCCATGTTGGCACTATAACCACTACAGAAGACTGCAGAGGCTGTGGTACTTAAAATACCATTTCATTCTTCAGAGGGCAGAGATTGCACTTGCACTTACTTGGCTAAGGATTGAGCCCTTGTTTGTAGATAGCTTTCCCTTTGAGCTTTAATAGAATGTAAGCTCTTCCGGTCCAATTGTTTGGCGGCAGCTGGAACCTTCTGTATCAGGAAACTATCCGCATACCAAATTACATTGGCTGTCAAAGTGATTGCTGGTACCTTAAAAGGATGTAAGTGGGCATCACTACATGATCCTTTCACAGCTAACGGGTGACGATGAGCCAAATGCAAATACACAAAAATATACGCTACATAGAATCTCACAGGGTTATTCACTAAAGTGAGAATTCAGGGTGAATTCAAAAATGATTGTCAAAATAAGCAAATTCTAAAAATTCCAGCATGCTTTCCATTCAGCTACTCTGGCTTACATTTTAAATTCGATTTGAATTCACTTAAAAAATAAATAAATCTCAATTTAGTAAATAACCTTTTTAGATAACGGGGATGAGGGGGTTATAATCAGTCTATAAGGGCAACTGTGAATTCCAAGGATTGTTAATATTATGCACACTTATCCCATACATTTATTATATACTTGTGTGAGGTGTGAAACTTAAATGTAGAAAACCCACCTTTTTATTTAGCTCTATCCCATAAACTGGCTCTTTTACATTTTGTGCTCCACTTTCTTTGAATAGAATACTTTCATAAATCTGGTTCTACTACTAGCTATGCTGGTATTAAAGCAGCGCAGCATACTAAGACCTCATTAGTATATGATTGCCCCGGCATGGAATATTATGGGGTCTTTAAAGGGTTTAATACACATACAAGTAACAAATAAGAATAATCAACACGCCACATATAACAAGGATTATACCTTTTTGCAGACATCCAGGAGAGATTTGTAAAATTTCTTGTCCACAGTGCGAAAGATTTGGAAGTAAAGAACATAAAGACCACATAGCCCTACATATCGCTCGCGCTGCTCCATTTCAGAAGCTTCCCCTTTAGAGACATAAAACACACCACATTAAACGAATGAACAAACCACTGACTCTCTAATCGATTTATTAGAATGCAGGACTTACCAAGTTTAAGTTCTACATTTGAGAATATTGTTCGGATATTGTGTGCAAACTCTTCTGCAAAAGTTCCATTCTTTGACACAGAAACTCCTCCATTTGTAGAGTCAAACTGCTGCTCAACACATCCCTGTAATTAAATGCACTATTCGTTATAAAAGGTTTGCAGCACTAAATGTTGTTTTTATTTGTTCAGAAAGACCAACATTAATGGAAATACAATAAGTATAAAAAAGTATAACGGTTCACAGTGCTGCACTAAACATTTGCACTCCTGTAATTAAAAGGGGGGGGAGGGAAGCCTTTTCGGATGTTCTCAAGAATCACCAGTTTAAAAAAAAAAAATAAAAAAACGGAGCTGGAAAAAGTGCTGAGAATTCCGATAAACGTTTCACGCGGGTGTAAGATTTTAAGAAGAAAGGCTTAAAAACATTGCAATAGTTAGAAAAGACATTAGTTAAAAAGGCACCTCTTAGGGGATAACACATATACCGGGCCAGTACAAAAGACATGGTCACCTATTTGGAATTGGATATTTTGTCTACAAAATTAGTAGTAAAATATTAAATATTAAAACAATATGTGGGGTAACTGCTTGTTGATCCAAGAAGAAATCGGACTGCTATTTTGGAGTCAAGAAGGATTTTATTTTACCCATTTTGTGGCAAATTTGGAAATTGTTTGAAAAGGGATTTTTTTGGGCTTGCTTCAACAGCAGAAACAGACGTGTGAATGGCTGAACTCACTAGACTTGAGCATTATTTCAGTTTCTATTACTTGGTGTCATTAAAGATTGTATTGTCAGTTTATAGGTACCTGAAATAGCATGCCATCAAGCAAGTGGCTCTCAAGCTTTAACAGAAGTTTCTCGAACGGCTTCAGTTTATCTTCCTGTATGCCAAATTTGACAGGGTTATGATGGACTGATTTCAGCAACCTATTTAAAAAAAAAAAAATAAAATGATGAAAAGATGGGGGAAGCAAATACAATGTACACAACACAAAGCAATCAAACGCATGTTTCTTTTACGGTCTCCATAAATGGGATAAAGGGAATAACAAATATCATGAATAAAAGATATGCTTTTATCCATTGTATTCAGAATAACTTCATTCCAGCATACATGGCTACTGCTAGAGGTTTTAGCTACAAAATTTAAATTTGTTTGGCCCTTAAGGCATCTTTTGTAGTAGAATTCTGCAGCAGAGTTTGTAGGTCATACACTTTTTTTAGTGGAGGAGCGAGACTCCTGGAGCATCACTAAACTACTAGCTCAAATGCTATTTTACCTCATTTGCCTTTTCTATTTGGACATAATTATGCATTCATTCACATTAGCTCAATTTTTAAAAGGTTAGCCCAGATTTGCACTTTATGCTACAACATATAATGGGTTATTTACTAAAAGGAGAATGGTCGGAATCCAAAGACAATGTCAAGTGCAAAGCAAATAAAAATGAATTGGTAAAACATCTCCAAGCCAGCTGTGCTTTCAGTTCAGCTATTTTGGTCTATAATTTAAAATTAAATTTGCATTTCTGACAATTCTCCCTTTAATGAATTACTATGCTAGAATCTGCCTCAATCCTACCTTTTATACATGGTCCAGTGATCCTTCAGTGTGGCGTGATTTTCAATAATTTCATCCAGAGTTAACAAGACAGTCAAGAGTTCGCCCAGGTGTTCATACATAGGCTGAAAAAAAACCCCCAAAAAACCAAACCCCAGCATTACATTTACTGGGAAATAGTACGGTATAAGGATCAATATTTTATTGTAAGGATATTAAAACTACATAACACAGTATAAGTGCATTAATATTTGGATATTCCTCCCATTCTTCTGGGCATTTACAAACATCTGCACAGGTCCGTACGCATGTCACCAAGTGATCTAAAGTGTTACTCCAATCATAACCAACACAGCACGCTGTAGTGGTTATGATGCAAAGAGTATCCTAACCCGGTTCTCCAGTAATGGGGCACACAGTCTACTAACGGCATGCCTCCTTGCCTGGGTCACTGACGGGCTTTGAAGCTCTCTAGTAGTTTGTTGGCAAACCTCCTGCTTATACATCCTTCTACAATCATTGCCTTAAAAAGTCAGCAGAATGCGCTAAGCCAATGACTGACATTCTGTGCAATAAAAGTTGGACAGAATCAACGCTAGCAATCTGTAAGACTAGATCCGGGCTGGTAGATGACACCCCAATGACGCTGTTGGAGGTGGAGTTACCGCTTTGGCAGCAGAGGGGTTAAACTATAACATGCATTTTTAGCAATCGAGCCATTTTAGAAATGTTTTCATGTGAATTAAAATTGGTGTTTTAGTATAAGCACCACACTTTATTTATACACAATATCTATATATAGTATTTAATTATCCATCTTTATAGATATCTGTATCTTTAGCTGTGTCAAAATACGTAAACATATCCACTGAAATCAGTCTTATTTACCTACCAGAAAGTGAACTCCAGTGGTCTCGATCATCTTTGGTTCATTTCTGCAAAGAAATAATTTTTTTTATATATATATATATATATATATATATATATATATATATATATATATATATATATATATACACACATATATACACACACACACACACACACACATATATATACATACACACATATACAACTGCATATTATCATCAGATATTTTGAATGAAAAAATGAATAAAATAAACTACAGTGGAATACACAAATAAAGCAGTCAAGCCATTTTTTTATTTAAAAATGTACAAACACAAAATGTACAAACGTAAAAAGTACAAAATATATGCACATGCTCTTATTCACCATGCAATAGCCTTTTTTACGTTCATAAAGAAATCAGGGCAACTAGGAGCAGCCATCTTGATTTCCTAGAAGAATACATTTAGGTAGCTGTAATACCATTACTGAACGTGTGTGAAATAGTGAAAGAACGAGCTAGTGACGTGGATAAGGGCTAATCGGAGGTGAAGTGATGTGAGATGCAAAGGAAGGGAGTTGCTGACAAGTGAGGAGTGGGTACTTAGCTAGCCACACATTTTCTCACGTCACACACTCCTTTTTGGTAACGAAGAAGTAAATTAAGCCCAACAATGGTGGCCTGTCCTCTCTTCTCCTTGGCTGTCTCATTTAAGCCTGGTATATCGTTCGAAACGAGGGGTCAGAGTGAGCGGGCCCACTCTCACAACTTGGGCTTAAACCATTCATAGAGCGTTTAACCCTTCAAAAGGTAAGATGGCATCCAGGACTTCCCGGCACCATAACAACTTCAATGAGATGATGTTGTTATGGTGCCCAGAGTATTTCTTTAGGTGCTTGAGTTACCTGCTGCCAGTATATAAGGCTGCCAATTGATGGACGACATTCATTACTACTTCATAACACCGGTTAACAAAACAGGAAAGTTCCTGAAAAAAATAAAATAAAATGTTCATTAATAAAACAATGGAATTATGAGCTTTCCTAGCTGCATTATGATACATCTGCAACTCTTCAATGCCAATAATAGATTAAAAGACACAATTACTGGACAAGGTAACAAGTCACAGCATGACTACTATTCGATGCTGAATAGATTTATTTGTGTTTTCCCCCCCCATGGATTATGAGGACACAGAACATACTGCACCATAACCTGTACAAGGAATATAAAGTATTATGCTTGGAATGCCCTTTTAAGAAATATACTCCCGAATGTCAGAATTCACAGCTGCAATATTAAACACACAGTCTGTAGTCAACAGAACCTACAGGGACACAGATGTAGTGTAAGAACACACGTCTAGTGCCAGATGGTCGTATGACTCACAGTATTCTAAAAGCCTTCCACTCGGTCCCTCGTGGCTCCAAGTCAATATATTCCTAGTAACTAGTTATGGCTGAGCATATGAAAAGGACAGGCATTGTGAGGCAGAGAAAAGAAGGGATTAAAGAGTAAACGAACAGCGTTGTAAAAAATAAAAATGTATTAAAAAAAAAAAAAAAAACACCTATTTGTCACAGGTTTACCTGTAAGAATGAAAAAAATCTTCCCATTTGGATTTGGGAATCTCCTTCCACCATGCTGGACTCAGCAGCTGCAGACAAATCAAACCAAAATTACATTTTGAATATGGTGGGTGTGTTGGAAAATGCACAGCTAAACAAGATACAGATGAGAAATTTGACTCATTTTAAAGAGAATCTAACCTACTGGCAAGTCAAAATGGAAACTATCAATAACAAGTATCAAAACTATTGCCCATTTATATGCACAGTTTTATTACAATGGACTTGAAGCCATTGTCTGAAAGTACAGGACTGGGAGCCTTTTGCAACCCGCTAGTCACTTTAATGCATCACAGGGTCATCTATCTCAGATTAGAGAGGTTTGCCCAAGTCCGTGACATCTCTCTCTTCTGGATGGCTGGAGGCCTGGTCTACTATAGGGTCACAATCTTGCTCAAATTTGTGGTAGCTGTGGAGACAGACCATTTAGTTGAGGAGCAGTGATTCTCTGCACCACTCTCTGTTCCAACATTCTCCGATTACTTTCCAGAATTTCTGTGATGGGGTTGGCTTAGGCACACAGCGCAGGGAATCAGCCACCATTGAGAGCACAGCCATATTCTAAATCATGGGAAACCGCATATAATATTTGTGAGTGCAGCTGTGTGTAAGGGAGTGTGACATTGATTATGTCTGTTTGTAAAGGAGTAAAAGATGTGTATACATGTACGTGTACATATTTATAGGCCCCATGGGATGCAACAACCAAGCGTCCCCTGGAGTTTTGTGCCTCCATGTTAAACACTGCAGTTTTGGAGTTATGAGAGATTTTAATTGCAGGACTTAGAGTTCTAGTGGCCGTCTTCCTGACATCCAATATATGACACTTCCTCACCCAGAACGGAGTTAACAAGTTTAAGTTGATTTTAGGCGATATGGGGACATGAATGTTCGTCTTACTTTCATTGGTTTAAGCACTGTCCCCTCACACTACAAGGTAGGCGCACACAGAAGAGCCTCCAATAGTGAATTACCTCTAATTACATGAAAAATGTATTCAAACATAAAATGCACTCACAAACAATCATGCCGGGCAGAGTACTTTTCTACCCGCATTTCTGCCACGCCATGGTTAATTCAGGGGTTCACTGCACCAATAAATCTCACTGGGTAATCTTCTTCCAGTAAATGCTTCCACATTTGTCTACAGGTTTTGCGAGATACTGTTTCACTTTCTCGGGACTTCTTCACTTCCTTTCTCTCTGCCTCCATGGTATGAGTAAATTTTACCCAGGCTGCTGCTGACTGGCTGAGAGCATCACCTGACACGCTTAGCCTGTCATTGGCTTCCAATGGGAGAATTTTTAAATACTAATCAGTGTTACAGTTTTTTTTACATCTTCAAGACTCCTTCCACTAGACCGAACATTAGCAAGATTATTGAATAATGATCAGTGTATTACTGGCACTTACCACCTTCTCCGTAGAATAAAAGGCCATTATAGAACTTTGTTTCAGCCTGAAACAAGACATAAAATTAAACATGAGAAAGACATTTATTACAATGGGAAATAAGCATATACAGTGGGGCTTAGAGTTAAGACCACTTCAGAAGAACCATTTACTGCCCTTTAAATGGTAAGGTTAAGCACTTCTCAGTGCTTACGATTCCGAGCGCCCACTGTCATTTGTGCATGACCTTTACTTCTTATGAAGAAGGGGAAGGGGAGCTATAAGATAGTCCACCAAGAAAAGTTAGCTTTGGGTTGCCTTGTATGAACTTTGTCCCCATCACTTTAAATGCCAACAATTCACATTTGAATATAAGGGATACAACCTTAGAGAAAAACAAATCATTGAATCTAGAATCCAGATATGATTATAAAAAGCTCACCTCATACTTCAACTTCTTGATCTCACAACACAAGGCTGCGTACACAGTGATGACTTTATTCAAAACCTGAAAGGGGAAAAGAGCAAGGCTGAATCACGTCCAAAACATGACTTAACGTGTATTTTGGGTAGAAACCATGCACTAAGGAAAGCACAACAATTAACAGATGGCAGGAACCATTTCCTGAGTGTGCACTATTATTTATACAACAAAATACACTTCACATTGCTGAGTAAACAGCAGTGATGACTGTCCGGTAGCGAAAATACCATCATGTAATCATTTCCAAAATTTCTTAAACTGTTATATTGCTAAAATTGGTAGATTAAGTCACTTTATTAAGATTTTGTCTTGATTACCATATATTCTATCAGTCCATCATTCCTATGGAATGACGTTATTCATCTGGTGGTACTCACAATGTTTACTGTACCGAACACTATTAGCATATGAAAAGATGGACGCTTCAGGACATTACCTTGTTTTCCGTTCGTATGAGCTCCAGAAGGCTAGATTGTTCATAGGGCACAAGCTAAAATAAAACATGGACATAAAACACGTTTATTCACAAAAAAAGTCTATACAAAAATAAGATTTTTTTAAAAGAATATGGTTTATTTTTCATTTTTGAGAATGGAAAAAAACAAAAAACATAAGCTGGTTATGTTAAAAACTGTATCATTCTATTGCCATCTATGCCAGGCCTTTCCAATCATCACCCCCCCCCCACCACCCAAAATAGCTGAACTACATGATTCTCTGTCCATCTATTGCATTTAAAATAATGATGAGATTTGTAAGCCATCGACATTGGGGGAGTGGGGTGGTGGTGGCAGAGTTTGAAATCCCTGCTCTACATACACACACACACGAGCTGCCTGGCATGCCAGGTTTTAGAATCCCATAATAATGGTGATGTCTTTAGTGCAATTTCCTAATGAATGGTTAATGATGCATGGAAACAATGGGAAAAAGATTTAGGAAAAGGGCTGGAAGGCATTGAGTGGCAAGAGTCATGGGAAGTGAACAGTGCCACCTCTATAGGAGTATCCATACAGAAACAACCACTTAAAACGATGTCTAGATCGTACATGACCCTGGTAAAACTATAGAATAAAAAAAAATAAAAAAATTAAAAATACCAACAGACATATACTGGAGAGGATGCAGCCTTAGAGGCTCGAACATCATTATGTGGTGGGACTGCCTCCAAGCACAAATTTACTGGAAGGCTATCAGGGACATATTTGTACAGATCTTTCAATGAGCTCAAGATTTGAACCAGTGGGTAGATTTGCTTAATGGATCAATGGAAGGTTGGACCAGACACGAACAAAAATGAATTCATAAGGTCACTTTAGATGCCAGGAGAGCTTTGGCCCAATCGTGGCTCAAACCAGATGTCGCCCTTATCCCGGTAGTCGTAGCTAAAATTAAAGACACCTGTCTTATGGAGAATATGACTGCTAGAGTTAGAGGAACACTAACGAAATTTGATAAAATTTGTGATTCATGGGTAACTGGTGATCTTGCAGACTGACCGGACACCAGTACGTTGGGTAGTTCTCACTGTCGGAGGGCCTGTATGGGAACAGCATGAGAGTGGTGTCTGCACCCTCTCCCCCTCTGTCTCTTATCCCTCCATCCCCCCCTCCTACTTTTGGACAGCCCTCACAAAGTCACTGCTATGACCCTTCTGGTTTCTTTTGTCTGTCTATTTTCCACTTTTCTCTCATCCTGTTTTTTTCCCCACACCCGGAATGAATACAGTAGAGTTCATAGGCTCCCCCATCGGAGGTCTCTATAAACTACTTCACTCAAAACTAGTAGTTAACATCCAACTATCTTGTCATAGAGAGATACAAATCTTCAAAAAAAAGTGTTCATAAGCTATTGCGTTATTCCATGAGCTTCCACTAGCTTATTTCATTTGTATTTCAATATTGAAATAAAACTTTTTGTTGGAAAACCCACTATGTTGACGACCGTTGTGACATTCGTGCTATTGTATTTTCTCTGTCCATTGTCTTATCTATATCACTATAGTTATGTAACTCATAGTGACCTGTGTATACCATAAGTTATTTTTGTCATTCAAAAATAAAGAATTTTTTATTTATTTTTTTATTTCACTCAATCCAAAAAAAAAAAAAAATGTTGGGTGGAGTGTTTTCTACCTTTAATGTAGAAAAAGGAATAGCACATTCTCAATATTCCATCTATTAAAGAGACAGTTCACACTCAGGAGACCCATAAATAAGCCTGATCTGCATCACATGGAGCACACAGAATGTCAGAAGGGAAGTCATGAGGCATCTAGGATGTTTTCTGAAACTTAAAATTTTGGTCCTAACTGTAAAATACAGTCCATTAGAGCTACAGGTTTGTTTTCTTTAAAAACAGGAAGTCTGTCTCAATGTAAAGATTAAGTAATTTTTACAGCATTACAGAAAAAAAAATGGTGTTTACAGGAAATCAGAGTATTACCACAAAAAGTAGATCTGAATCGCCCAGTCATGTAAGTGCAGTGCAAGTTATAGGTGTTGTGTCCTATGGGTATGGCCCCTAGAAATTTAGGTCTGTGATTTAAAAAAAATATTTTTTGATTAACTACCTCAAGGGTGAATCAATGGATCAGACTGCATAACCCCCTTCTGCCCCTATGTAGTAGGAACAGTCTATTTTGGGACTAAATCTCACAGTCCCTCTTTTTTTTAGGAGCTCAATATTGTTGGTCTCAGTGTATAACAGAGCTCCACAGCAATAGAACAAACAGTAATGTCTTTAAACTGCAATAAGTGTGTAGAAATCAGTCTGTGTAAATAAGATCCACTGCTCTTGATCTAATTTATTAATGAAACTAAAACATAATTAGTAAGTCATCTAAAATTACTCTGAGCAGCCCCACCCCTACAATTAAAATGTCACTATCATTTTTGAAACAAGCCCCTTGTGATTTATTATTATTTATTTTCAAGTCTTTTAGGATAGTGACTTCCCACTGATGAGTTACAATATCAAACAGGATTGTAATAAAAAAATTTATTTTGCTGTGAATACACTAATAGCACTCATGTCAGTTTTAATTGAGTAAGATTTAAAGGAACAGGGTATGCAACATGACTACTACAATCGAGTAGTTTTATTTTCACATTATACAAGTGGCTGAGGAGGAGGTGGTCTCCAGAATAGACCCCGCACATCTCTTCTATGTTAGAAACGGGAGTGCTTTCCGCTGCAGGCAAGCCCACTAAACCGTGATTTATATGAAAATGCTGCTGGCGTCCATTTTATTTTAAACACTAAAGAATAGGGCCCGTAGTTTCCCTTTGTCAGCTGTTTTACTACAGGAATTCTGGGTGCTGATAGGAAAATCCACAGTTGTATAGCACTGTTATTAATGCAGAATAAGTCAACTAAAAATATGTGAACTCATGACAGTAAAATTATGAATTATCTTATCAGTCTTTTTAAAAGGTTTTTTGTTTTGCTTTTTTCCCCTCAAGAGAAACAAAAGAAAGCTTTCTGGCATTGGGTTTATCTCAGGAAACTGAACAAATACAGTTCTGCAAAGTCATCATAGTCAGTTAGTGAAGTAAGTAATTAGCACAGGCATTCTGGGGTCAGACACAGAACATTGCTCACGGCACTCGTTATAGTTGTAAAGATTTATCCATTCAGGAAATGAGGAAACACATTCTACAATACTATTCCAATCTTAATTCTGTGGAATCTACAAGGAGTGTGTATTATGCCAGTTCCAGGATTACTTTATTAACAAGGCTAAAATAAAAGGCATCAGGTGTGTACCTGTTAGAATGGTTACCTCACAGCAATGTAGCTCAGCTGCAATCTTTTATTTCCCTATAGCCAATGCATCTATTAAAATGACGCTGTCCCTTACATTTCCTTTCCATTAATAAAGAAAAAACTAGACTCCAGCACTCGGTAATATCAGGGGCACTGTGTGGTTTTTTTCAGCCATCAAAACGGCAGGCTGCATTTCAACACCGTGTGTCTTTGCTCTCAATATTTATCAGGTCATAATAAAGTGCATTATACATTGCGCTGTCTATTTGACGACAGACTAAACCCACACTGCAACGACTATTACAGAGTGATGAAGTCTTATTTTCCGTTATTGATTATTTTAAATTTCCTGGAGCAGGGATGCTGACTTCGGCACAAGTTCTAAAATTTGGACTTCAACAATGCCCCTTCTGCATATATATTTCCATCTATCAGATTAAAGCGGCACTGTCTCAGTCTTGGGACTTTGCATAATTAGCAATGACCAGGTTGGGCAGCGAAAGGTGAAATATACTTACCTGAGCTTGCCCCTCACAGGCTCCGCCACCTTCTTCCGGCCGTTCCTCTTCTGCTGTAATCTCTGGACGAGAATCATCCATGGATACAACTATTATCTCTGCAGTCATCACTGGTAATAGGTGAGAGATTGACAATTCTAGACTAGAGGACGATAGTTCCATCCAGTGTCGAGAAGTGTCAGGTGTGGGGAAAATACTGAGACAAAAGTAGTCTGTGACAGTGTCGCTTTAAACCAGGGATCTCATACTCTGTTTCCCTTCCATATCCACGACACATGAGGAGAAAAATGAAGTCCACTCCTACCAAACCAGGGTGTATAGTCATGAAGTAAAATAGGAAGAGAGGTGCCAGTCTCTCTATACCACGCTTGAAAGATAAAGAGCCCTATTAAAAAAGAGGAACTCTTTCTACTACCTTAAACAATAAGTGGTTAAAATTGGGCTCATAGGATCTTGTATATATTTTCTCTTTAGCAACATAATCCAGTGCTCATTTGCAAGTGGGTGTGCAATTTTGCAAGGGGGGAAGGGAGGGGTTTAAAAAAAAAAAAAAAATCATCAAACATTTTCTGTACAAATTGCCACAAATATATTTTTTTATTTAGATTTTTCAAATACCATTCACAGTTTAGTGATTAAATACTTTAATAAACCTTTAATTCACATTGCTAACTTTCACCACATAAATTGTATCCAACTTTATGTCATAATTGATTAATGCATTTCAGAACTTTTATAATCGCTTCCAAGTTAAAAGGGACACTTCAGGAACATATTCTACAATAATGTATCTAGTAGAATATTATCATGTAGGCAAACATTCCATTATTTATTTATTTTTTAAATGGAAAATTTTTATTAATCTGCATTTTATATTATTTCAAAGTATCAAACCTTTAAGGCTATTGGATCCAGATTGAAATCCCACACATCCCCTATAGAATCATCCAGAGCGTTTTCAATGCGCCGAAGCTGAGAGGTATACTCTTCAAGAAACTTTCCATAGTTTTTTAGCTGAACCTCTGCATGAATCTCTGCAAAGGAAATCAGGATTGGTTAGAAAATAGCAAGTGTTCACAGAAGGTACAAACCACTTTAAATTATTATACAGGTGGTATCTGGTACCGACTAGGGTTCAAAAGATGTTCCCAGAGACATCTGACAGATTGAGGAATGTCACATATCTGGTGTAATTGAGCAAAATTTTAAATATTTTGGAAATATTTAATTCAAATTGTTGATCCTGATATTGTGACTTTTTCCCCTGTTTTTACTTGAAGGACCACTATAGTGCCAGGAAACAAACTCATTTTCCTGACACTAAAGGGTTATTAGGTCCACCCCCTACCCTAGTGGCCCCTCTCCCGCTGGGCTGAATGGGTTTCCTCTGCGCTGGTGACCTCTCCTCACACCTTGCTGACGACATCGCCGCATGCGCATTCAAGGCTAGAGCCGCATGCGCATTCAAAACGCCCATAGGAAAGCATTACTCAATGCTTTCCTATGGACGTCGGCGTAATCTCAGTGTGATTTTCACACTTAGAATCGCGGAAGCGGCCTCTAGTGCCTGTCAGGGAGACAGCCACTAGACGCAGGGGTCCTCAAACTCCAGCCCCCAGATATTGCTGAACTATTACATAGATGGCCAGAGAATCATGGGAATTGAAGTTCAGCAACATCTGGAGGGCCACAGTTTGAGGACCCCTGCACAAGAGTCTGGATTAACCCTCAATGAAAACATAGCAGTTTCTCTGAAAATGCTAGATTTTCAGCTGCAGGGTTAAAACAAGGGGGACCTGGCACCCAGTCCACTTCATTGAGCTGAAGTGGTCTGGGTGCCTATGGTGGTCCTTTAAACTAGCTCCTACGACAACGAGTAGGCCTCAGAAAATAGTTGTCACTCATATATTGATAGCTGCGATCTCTATTATGCCAAGATATTAGATATCTCCCACGATACCAAAAAAAAAAAAAAAGATAGATCATTAGTTACTGAAAACAAGGGATATGATCTAGTCTTGATGCAATTGTCTGCAATATATACAACATTAGGACAAGTATGGGATTCTAGGGGATAAAAACTTAAAAATATAATGTGTAATAATTTTTATTTTAGCAAATTATATTTGATATATGATCAAACTTAACTAATCGTAAGCATACATGTATAAAGTGTCTGACGTGATTTAACCCAATGTAAAAAATTGTTTAGAAAAGGACAAGTTTATGTGTACAATATTATAAAACCCATCCCTTCTTTTATTCCTATTTCTTTCTTATCCCTGTTAATTGTTACATTTATGTGTTAGAACTGGTTTGTAATTTTTTTTTTTTTTTTTAATACCTTAATAAAAAAAAGTATTTGAAAAGCAAATAGCAAGTGTTCAGCTAAGAGCTTAAGCAAAGGGGTTAATATGTGAACTACATGGTGGTGTGAAAACAAGCCAAAAGTCACTGGAACTGAGATTGCAATGCTCTACAATGTAAGGAAATAGCAGTTACTTCATGTATTTAAAGATATTTTAACAGGATGGATACATTAAGATTTCTCTCGCTTTCAATTAAGTTCAGGATAACTAATAAGCAATATTATTACAAAATCTGCCAAAGACGACAGCAGCTCTAAGGTTCCATATTATGGCAATATTTTTTATCAGCTATCTCATTAATGAAAAGGTTGGGTATTTCCCCCCCCCCCCTTTTAATTGAGAAGCCAAGAACCTTATTATGCATACCAATAAAAAAAAAATAAAAAAAAAATTAAAAAAGTATATTTGCTGTAAAAGTATATATACATACACACACACACACACCTAGCTTCTCGAAGAGTAAACCCATAAAAACTAGAAAATTGACTGATTATCGGTCTGGCCAATATTCAGTAATATGAATATTGGCGATAATACGGCTGGTGGCCGAAGCCCAGCACTCTATCTTCAGCTCCTCACTCTCTCGAGAGTTGGAAAAAGGACCTGCAGGAAAGAGAAGATAGCATGTGCCAGGCCCGACCAGGGGGTGCTGAAACCCCCTGGCAGCCTCCACAAAGACAAAGGTAAAAGACAGGGAGAAGAGAATAAAACTAAAATTCTTAAAATACATTAAATACAATAAATTATAAAAAAAATAAAAAAAATATAAGCTGACTGGCATGTAAATTTACCTTACAAGAAAAGATAGATTTACAAAAAATAAATAGAAAATATTAAACAGTTAAATCGTATATTTGTACAGAATATTGGTACAAGTAATCAGCACTCGGCTTGAAAGGCAACAAATTATAGGTATTGGCCCTAAAAGAGTCATATGGTTTGATCCCTAATAACACAATGCAGTTAGGTTGGATCTTTGCACCAACAATAAGTCTTATACTGACAGGAGAACAGGCTGCAGGCACAATACATATAGCTTCAAGCACTTGCAGCAAATCAGCTGCAGCTGTCAAAGCAGAGCCTTTCGGACATATTCTCAAATTACTACTTTTAGTAAAAGCATTGGTTCTGTATGAAAGAGATAGAGAATAATAAGAGAGAATACAAGTTATTCACCAATGGCAGCAATAAGTGACTGCGAATAGCCTGGGCAGCACACATGCTTCATTGTGAAAGAAAATAAATATTTAGTGCCTCTTTAAATTTACTAGCATGTCACTTAACAGAGTACCCATCGTTCCCTATAATTTGTATTGCTGGACAAACGGAAAGTTAGATATTTTGCCATCTAGAAATTAATATGCTCATTCACCAAACTTTGATTTGTTGAGTGCATTTAGGTTAGGCTGGTATGTCCCCTTTTTGGGCGAGTCTTTCCCCTCTCCACCTTCAGGCCTGCCCACACAGGTTCTAGTTTTATACCAAATGCTGGGTTGTACACAGAATCATAAAAATTATCATATTTAACATAGTGTTTTGAAATCTGGGAACATCAACATTTTGTGAAGTCAAAAATCAAGCTTTGGGGTGTGGGGGTGTACTTTAACACCATTCCCCAACCCCAAATAAAAAAACAAACAAAAAAAAAACAAAACACACACACACACCACGAGGAAGTTTATAAATTTTACATTGAATAACAGCATTTCTCAATAACATTTTCCTGAAGTGATCAAGTAGTTCCTGCTTTGAAATGTGTTCAAGTAACAATAACATACTTCAAAAATAACAAAACAAAACAAAAAAAAATTATACACACACACACCTCAGAAGTCTGACTCTGATTGAGCTTAGCACAGTCCAACTACTGCTTTTAAAAAAGTGGTTACGGTGGTAGGAGTATGTATGTGCAGCGTTTCTGCTTAAAACATGGTGCATACAGAGACAAGATTTGTGGGGTGGGGGGTAGTTGAGCCGAGGAACGTGACTAAGGCAGTAAGGAGGAACTCTGTGCAAAAATTTTTAAATCAAACTTGTTAGAGCACGTGTAACACACATAAGCTTCTAGCACAGAGCGCTGCCTGCAAGGGTAAGCCTTGATCTTCCCTCCCTTCAAACACTCCATCCCCTCACTGATAGAAACATGTTATTTAATTTTTTTTAATTTCCTCCTCAGCTCAGATGGCCCTCACGCTCTGAGCCGTTAGAATGGTGCAATCAAATGCTTCTCTATGAGAAACATTTGACAGGCCCACATGCAGGCAGCCGTGATGACTGAGATATGGAGCAGGGAGCTATAAGGGGATGGTGGGAGGGGAATAATGGCAGTAGGGCACTGTAAACTTAATAGCAAGACTGTATACAATGGGTTAAAGTAACCCTTTATACCACAATCTATCTTGTGTGCCACAACAGATAAAATATTACATTTTCAGATAATAAAGTGGAGGTTGACATGTGAATGTTACAAAAAGCTGAGAATTCCTGCCATTCTTTGATTCTAAAGGAATGTATTAAGGGCATCCTTGTTCGTTCACATTCTACTACTGCAGAAAGCAAACTGGATCAAGGTGAAAGGCAAAAATATTTCCTAAAACTAACCTCAAAACTTTTTTTTCACCAAAGACATTTTTATTGAACGACAGTTAAACAAGTAGATATGCTTATGAGCAATAAATCTAGTTCACATCAGTACATGAAATATAAAATCAATGTTAATTTTACATTATGAAATCTGAGTCAAAGACAAAAATTAGCAACATTCTTCGCATCTTTCAATAATTTTCTGTTGGCTTTGCATTTCACGCTCCTTACATCATAAATATGATCAAATGAGCGTGATCTTACGTATGATTTTCAGAGCATGAAATAAAACTAATATCCTTAAAAAGGAACACTCCAAGCACCTAAAAAGGACTTAAGTTTGCCGAAGAGTTTTAGGGTTAAATTAACGTTTCCGGATTTTATCAGACCATCCATTTCAACAAAATCATGAAATCTGAATCAAGATTAAAGGAACACTGAAGGCACCCAGACCACTTCAGCTAATTGAAGTGGTCTGCGTGCTGTGTCCCTTTTGCACTTAGTGCTGCAATGTTCACATTGCAGTTGCATAGAAACTGAAATGTTTACATTGCAGCTCTAAGTCTGCCTCCCAGACAGCCACTAGAGGGCTTCCTGAATTGAAATGGACCTTTGGTCCGGTATCTGACACTCACGCTCTGCGTGAGGACCTCCAGCGTCAGATTTTTCCCCATAGGAAAGTATTAATTCAATGCTTTACGATGGGAAGGTCTAATGCGCGCGTATAAGACCCCGCTCGTATCGGGGTGGAGGAGGGGGCAGAGCGCTGACCCTGGCCTGAGGGACATGCTAAAGTCCAATCCAATACTAAAAGTGCACGTGTAAATCGCACTGTGATGCTACTGGAGGTTAACTATGAGAAGCAAGATTGACTCAGTCCCCACAGCAGATGGGCCTCTTGCGGCTGTCAGGAAGGATTTAACCCTGCAGTGTAAGCTTTGCTGTATCTACTAAATGGCAATGCTTTATATTGTAGGACCACTACATTGAAATAACGTGGTCTGAGTGCTTTTGGTGTTCTTTAATGATGTTGCGAAGCAACAGAAGTTTGATAGAAAAATACAGCTTCAGTTGGTGGCTGAACTACGGCAGCACTGATTTCCATTTTGCTGCCCATCCTGCATGACAATATGATGGAAGTTGAGCTTGGCTCACCTTCATTCTATAAAGTGTAGGAGGCAGTGATTGCCTGACAGCGTCACCTGATAACTCTCAGCCAATCACTGTCCCAATCCCTGGCGCACATTACTATAATGGGAGGCGAAAGAATATTCGGGCTCCAGGCTGCCAGAGTCAAATAATCTCAACCAGTGCCCCACACACAAGGCACAATAACTACTTCAATCTTCTAACTGGTCACGGAGTTTACAGTGTCTCCAACACAAATGTACATCTTCCCCTGTGACGATACACACAGGTTAAAAACAGCCATATGTGCACATTTAACCTTGTTTTTAAAGATAATGTTTCTTTCTTTTTGGGGTTAGTGAACACATACTCCTACAGAAACAGACAAGATGAGAAACTAGTTGAGTTTCAGTTTACCTGCAGTGACATGAAACTAGTTCAGAATTCAGGAAAGAACGTTAACTTGAAATGATTACGGCATTTTCTTTCTCAAAACTAAGCGAACCACGCTTAAAGTCAGACTATAATGAAAACAGCGGTAATAACTTCATATTATCATTCTAATTGTGTATATTAAAGACTAATACTTATGAATACTAGTTATGTGCTTATAAAAAGTTTAATAGCGGCAAATCCGCTCAAGACTTATTTTGTTGGTTTGTGTATACTGTACTGTCTTTCATTTGTACAGCGCTGCGGTATTTGTTGGGCCTTTATAAATACCGGTAATAATAACAAACACAGGATATTAAACTTTTCTAACCATTTAAAACACAAAAATGATTATTTAGTAAAACACCAAATGGCAGTGAGCAGAAAATCAAATTGCAGATTTTAGAGTTTAATAAATAATTTCCTCAATGTTCTAACATCTCACTGCAATCCTACACTTTGAACATCAGAAATCAGTGTATTTTTTTAGATTGAGGACAACCAGTTAAATAAAAAGCATCAGTATCAGATGTGTGCAAGCAAGATCTTTAACACAAAAACTTTTTTGTTTTGATAAAGTAGACTATAGCTCGAGAGGAACGACAAACACATTGCCTTTGATGCACTTGGAGATTGAATTAATGAGAAAATCAGCCATTTAAAAAGACACAGGAAATGTAAATTGATTCAGCGTGATTTTGGGTCACAGAAGAGAGCAGTTACTATGTGAGGAAAACAAAGTTTCACTTTCAGAACTGGTTTGATTTCACTGCTCTCTTTGGCTATTAGAAGGAATTCTGAAAAGAAAACATGTCTAAGTGTGAAATTGCAAACCGTATCAAGACACAAGGTTGAGATGATGGTAGTTTGTCGTGATGTGCCATGATTATAGATGTGTGCCAACATAATCTGCAGGGTTACACAATTTGAATATGAGTTTAATTTTTACAGATGCAGTAAAGCCATACTAGCATATTTATAAAGATAGCTAGAATAGGGTTCATTAGGCTCTGGGAAATGTGAGTGTGAACTCCCAATTTTCTATTTAAGTGTACACTACAAGAATATATTAAAATCAGATGGTCTGCACTATTTTGTCTATATATGTATCTTTTCAGATGATTTTTATGAAGGTTTACTGGTGAGATATATACTTACTAGATACACATAGTAATACTCTAGCGCAACATCTTTTTTGGATATTGGATAGCTAGAATACAGCTATAAGACAATAATCACCATTAGATACATTATTTATATTTGCAGGTGTACCACAGGTAATTATTGCTAGATGATAGGTGCAAGAAATGTTGATATCTGCGGTGTTCTACAACCAACACATTAATTGTGATGTGTAGTATTGATGTGCAAAAACTGATGATATTTCACTAGATCTGTTGAACTGTTCTGTCCTATTGTGTTTTATACACCACCTACTATAGACCGTAAGCTCGTTTGAACAGGGTCCTCTTCAACCTATGGTTCCTGTAAGTTTTCTTGTAATTTTGTCCTAGTTTGTTGCAAAATTGGAAGCGCTACAGACTAGGTGTTTTGCCTTCTTTTGTATCAACAGCAAAAACATATGGGAGGAAGGCTGAACTTGATGGACACAAGTCTCTTTGCAGCTATGTGATGTGTCCCGGCACACTGATGTGCATGTGATGTGTCCCGGCACACTGATGTGCATGTGATGTGTCCCGGCACACTGATGTGCATGTGATGTGTCCCGGCACACTGATGTGCATGTGATGTGTCCCGGCACACTGATGTGCATGTGATGTGTCCCGGCACACTGATGTGCATGTGATGTGTCCCGGCACACACTGTGTATGTGATGTGTCCCGGCACACACTGTGTATATGATGTGTCCCGGCACACACTGTGTATATGATGTGTCCCGGCACACACTGTGTATATGATGTGTCCCGGCACACACTGTGTATATGATGTGTCCCGGCACACACTGTGTATATGATGTGTCCCGGCACACTGTGTGTATATGATGTGTCCCAGCACACTGTGTGTATATGATGTGTCCCAGCACACTGTGTGTATATGATGTGTCCCAGCACACTGTGTGTATATGATGTGTCCCAGCACATATGATGTGTCCCAGCACACTGTGTGTATATGATGTGTCCCAGCACACTGTGTGTATGATGTGTCCCAGCACTCTGTGTATATGATGTGTCCCAGCACACTGTGTGTATATGATGTGTCCCAGCACTCTGTGTATATGATGTGTCCCAGCACTCTGTGTATATGATGTGTCCCAGCACTCTGTGTATATGATGTGTCCCAGCACTCTGTGTATATGATGTGTCCCAGCACTGATGATGTGTCCCAGCACTCTGTGTATATATGATGTGTCCCAGCACTCTGTGTATATATGATGTGTCCCAGCACTCTGTGTATATATGATGTGTCCCAGCACTCTGTGTATATATGATGTGTCCCAGCACTCTGTGTATATATGATGTGTCCCAGCACTCTGTGTATATATGATGTGTCCCAGCACTCTGTGTATATATGATGTGTCCCAGCACTCTGTGTATATGATGTGTCCCAGCACTCTGTGTATATGATGTGTCCCAGCACTCTGTGTATATGATGTGTCCCAGCACTCTGTGTATATGATGTGTCCCAGCACTCTGTGTGTATGATGTGTCCCAGCAGTCTGTGTATATGATGTGTCACTGTATGACCTATAGCACACAGTAACCCCAGCCATACTACCTGATCCCACCCCAGGGGCCCCACACACGCTCCTGCTTACTCTGAGAGCCGTCATCATAGCGATCAAACTCCCAGTCCGGGGACATGGTCTCCGTGCTCGCCGCCATCGCCTTCCAGCGGAGTAGGAGCACTAACCCTGCCCGCCTCCTTTCCCCGTGACACACAGGACCACGTGACTTCCTGCCAGGGCACGCCCACCGCCCTGCAAGAGGGCTGACGTCAGATGACATGTCTGCATAGAGCGATGGGCATAGGCGGCCATTTTTATTGTGGGCGGTGGAGGACTGTGTTCATGGCTGTGTGTGCAGTTTATATGTAGTTTCCATGCTCATCCAGACTTGCAACGAGCAAACTAATTGGGGGATCTATGTGAAGACCTTGTATGCAATAACGTTCTAAAAACAAGGAGAAGGAAGCCAACATTCTTCTTCAGAACTTTGCCACAGAGTAGCTCTATCTATGTGTGTTATGATTTCTATCTATGTGTGTTGTGACTTCTATCTATGTATGTTGTGATGATCAGAGTTATTCATCAAAGTTAGAATTCAAGGTTGGGTCAAAGTGAATTTAAAATTTAAAGGGACCCTATAGTCACCAGAACAATTACAGCTTAATGTAGTTGTTCTGGTGAGTATAATAGTTCCCTTCATGCATTTTTATGTAAACACTGCCTTTTTAGAGAAAATGAACTGTTTACATTGCCTCTAGGGACAGCACCAAATGGCCACTCCTCAAATGGCCACTGGAGGGGCTTCGTGGCTCAGGGTTGCACAGTAGGCAGCCCTGCCGCTCAGCGTCTCACGCTCTGCATGGAGAAGCTGAACTTCCTCAAAGAGATGTATTGATTCAATACATCTCTATGAGGAGGTCCTGATTGGCCAAAATGGCATTTGGCCCCACAACTTTGCCGATTTTAGCCAATCCAATGCTTTCCCATAAATTGGATTGGCTAAAAATTGGCCATTTTTAAAATATAATTCCTTATATTACCTCATCTGAAACGCTGTGTTATGCCACATCAGCATAACACAGCGTTTCAGATGAGGTAATATTATGACAGTGGTATAAAGCACAACATTTTTATAAAACATGAGTAAACATATTTCAGTAGGTGGGAGCGCTGTTGCGAACAGGAGAGGTTACTGTACTTTAAGATTTTATTGTGAAATGAGTAGTGGTCAATGGTGGCTGTAAGAGAAGTGTTGAGAGCGTGAATTCGTAGATTTATAGTATGTGCTCACTATCGTGGGCCATCCATCAGAGGCTTATACCCCTGTGTGTTATGAGTGCAAGACGTGTTCGAGTAGCTTGCCTAGTTTAGTAGCTTGATATTATCTGTGGGATGATGCAGGTAAGCTTTGGATCTGTGAGAGCCCCTTACCAAAAGCGGCTGCGGGGGGGATGGGGGGGGGGAACTGGTGGTGTTATTCCCTGGGGTTTCGCTTGTTGCGGTTTTGGCTTCCCTGGTTGCAACTCATGTGGTGTTCTGAGTCTACTACCTTTGGGTCAGGCACTCGCCCCTCGTTGGCTCTTAGGGAGCTCCGGAGGGTGAGTGAGTGTATAGAAGCTAAACAGGACCAAAGCGATTAATAACAGAGTTAAAGCTAAAAAAAAAAACACAAAGAGGGGAAAAACAGGCTCATAAAGAAACATGAGATGAATTGGTGTTCAGGTAGAGCAACTAGAGTCTCATCTGCATACAGCTGCCATCAGGTGTCTGATCTATTGTACCCTCAAGGGCGTGACTCTAGAGGGATCCCACACCATGCCATGTGCAGTGTCCGCCAGGCCTTTCACTGCTTCTGTCAGTCCAAGTGTGGATAGGCATTTAGGTGCTTCTGCTAGGGAGGTGAGTGATTGGGTGGTCCCATTGTGAGTCACGTGTAGGGTTCCAGGTGTTCCCCAACGATAGGTGATGCCTGCTGCCTGCAATTGTTGTGTACAAATTTGATAGGAACCAGCGCTTATTACAAATAATTAAGATAAACACAATTAGTTATAAATATCTTCAAACTAACTGCTAAACATTCGTATGGTGCTTCCAACACCTCAAACAACAAAATACTTGAAAAAGAGAAGAATGTAGCGCTTATGGAGATCAATTGTCACTTTTTAGTAGTCTCTGAGGAATACACAGGAGATCAGCGACCAAGTTTCTGGAAAGGAAATAATCGCATATAGTGTAGATGGTATATTACGAAGTAATCTTTAGTATAGAAATATATGAATAAACTCACAAACAGGGAGCTGTAGACTCATAATAATAATAGAGGCGTTTTGCCCTTCAGGGCCGCCATAATTTGTCCCTTATCGTGTAGTGTCATGCACCGGAGAATGATATCTCTGGCAGGGTGTGGTGCTGGCCTGATTGGTCCGGGGAGTCTGTATACCCCATCAATAGCAATTTTTCTTACCGCTGTCTGGGGCAAGATCATGGCCAGCATTCTTCTTACGAAGTGTGGCAATTCCTCTGTGGAGACAGCAGCTGGTACTCTACGGATTTTGATGTTGTGACGCCTGTACCGGTCCTCCATGGCTGTCATTTGCAGAAACAGTGCTTGATGCGAATGTGTAAGTTCTTGTACCGTTGATTGTACGTTAGATAGACCAACTTGTATGTCGGAGATGTGTTCTTCGTTAGCACGTACTCTGTCAGTGGTGTTCTGTATATCTGATCGGAGGACAGCTGCTAGTATCTTATGAAAATCATGCAGAAAGAGTTTGAGGTCATGTTTGGTTCATGGGGTCGTAGTGTGCGGCATCTCCGTGGGAGTGGGGGCCCCTGAGTGTAAGTCGGCCAGCTCACCTAGTTAGCGGTGCTCGCTTGTGGCCTCGGTTCGGGGACCCTCTGTGGGCGGCATCTTGGGCCGTGCTTGTTTTCTGGGAACATCTTCAGCCCCGTAGGCACTGCAGCATAGCGACTCCCAATTTGGCTGCGTGCATGTGGCGTAGGCCCCAGGCCTGCATCTCCGCTTGGACATTTTTGGTGATGCAAAGAAGGGCCATTTTGCAACAGCAGGAGCCCCTTGAAAATCAGCCATTTTGATGATGCCACAAAAGGGGCAGAGCCAGTGGACCCATGCAGTGCTGGAAATAAGATGAGTTTTACACTTTTAAGGGGGCTAAGTGGGGGGCAAGCCACCTAAATGGTGGGTTAAACATTATGGTGTCAGGAATACATGTTTGTGTTCCTGACCCTATAGCAGGGGTCCAAGCATTTAGGGCCACCTGATGGCCCCTATATCTTCAGCGGCCTGGTCAGTGCTGCGGCCGTGCAATAGTGCAACCGGGCCCTTTTAAAAAATTGCAGCCGCAAAGTAGTGCTGGGAGGAAATGACGACGGGAAAGACAGGCGAGGACGGGAGAGCCACGCCGACTCCCATCAGCCACAGGCACCCTCCTGCAATAAAAGTAAGAACATTTGGCTGTGTTTGTGTGTATGTCATTATGTGTGTGTATGTATGTATGTATGTGTCTGTCTGTGTGTGTATGTATGTATCTATCTGTATGTATGTTTGTATGAATGTATGTCAGTCAGTATGTGTATGTATGTATCTGTGTCAGTGTTTGTGTGTATGTATGTTTGTAAGTGTATGTATGTATGTATCTATCTGTATGTATGTGTATGTATGTCAGTATGTGTCTGTATGTATGTCTATCTGTGTATGTATCTGTATGTATGTATGTGTATGTCTGTAAGTGTATTTATGTATGTATGTATCTATCTATCTATCTGTGTGTATGTCTGTAAGTGTATCTGTGTGTGTATGTATGTATTCATCTATTTATCTGTATGTAAGTGTATGTATGTATCTGTATGTATGTCAGTATGTGTCTGTATGTGTGTATGTATGTATGTATCTATCTGTATGTGTATGTATGTATGTATGTCAGTATATGTATGTGTGTGTATGTCTGTAAGTGCATGTATGTATGTATCTATCTATCTGTGTGTATGTCTGTAAGTGTATCTGTGTGTGTGTATGTATGTATGCATCTATCTATCTGTATGTAAGTGTATGTATGTATCTGTATGTATGTCAGTATGTGTCTGTATGTATCTATCTATCTATCTATCTGTATGTATGTCTGTAAGTGTATCTGTGTGTATGTATGTATGTTTCTATCTATCTGTATGTATGTCTGTAAGTGTATCTGTGTGTATGTATGTATGTTTCTATCTATCTGTATGTATGTCTGTAAGTGTATGTATGTATTTATCTGTATGTATGTCTGTAAGTGTATGTATATATGTATGTATGTATGTATGTCTGTCAGTGTATTTATGTATATCAGTATGTGTCTGTATGTATGTCAGTATGTGTCTGTATGTGTGTGTGTGTGTGTGTATCTATCTGTATGTATGTCAGTATATGTATGTATGTGTATGTCTGTAAGTGTATTTATGTATGTATCTATTTATCTATCTATCTATCTATCTATCTGTGTGTATGTCTGTAAGTGTATCTGTGTGTGTGTGTATGTATGTATGTATCTATCTGTATGTAAGTGTATGTATGTATCTGTATGTATGTCAGTATATGTCTGTATGTGTGTATGTATGTATGTATGTGTATGTCTGTAAGTGTATGTATGTATCTATCTGTATGTGTATGTATGTATGTCAGTATGTGTCTTTATGTATGTCTATCTGTGTATGTATCTGTATGTATGTATGTAAGTGTATGTATGTATGTATCTATCTGTGTGTATGTCTGTAAGTGTATATGTGTGTGTATGTATGTATCTATCTATCTGTATGTAAGTGTATGTATGTATCTGTATGTATGTCAGTATGTGTCTGTATGTGGGTATGTATGTATGTAAGTGTATGTATCTATCTATCTGTATGTATGTCTGTAAGTTTATCTGTGTGTGTATGTATATATCTATCTGTATGTATGTCTGTAAGTGTATCTGTATGTATGTCTGTAAGTGTATGTATGTATGTCTGTATGTATGTCTGTAAGTGTATGTATATATGTATGTATGTAAGTTTATGTATGTATGTCTGTCAGTGTATTTATGTATATCAGTATGTGTCTGTATGTATGTCAGTATGTGTCTGTATGTGTGTGTGTGTGTGTGTGTATCTATCTGTATGTATGTCAGTATGTCTGTATGTATCTGTATGTATGTCAGTATGTGTCTGTATGTATG